GCTCTTCCGATCTTATACATATATATATTTGAGAAAGATTTGCGTAAAGTAGATACTTTAAGTAATGAATAAATTTAAGAAAAATTTATAAACACAAATAACGTTGTAAAAAGAGACTCTGTTTATCATTCAAGAATAAATTACAACTCTTACCATCGATAATTTACGATGGGTTTGCAGAACACAGACGCGATAGGAAGAATTAGTCAGTAGTATTCTTGAACTTCATTTCACTGCATAGTAGAGTGATAAGCGTCATGGAATCTCATAGCATCCAGTGGGCTGAATGACAGTGCATGCACTGAAGCGAGACATACATACATGCTAAAACGTAAACAGTAACAAAATAACATCTATAAAAGAAAGGTTGGTGCACTATGATATTTATGTAAATGCATGTCGTGTGATAATTTATTATAGATATGCAATTTAAAGGAGTCTATTTTGAAAATATGTCATCGCTTTCTATTTCCTGCATTAATCTCACATAAATAGTTTTCATTTTGGTGTCAGCTATTCACATTTGTTCGAGTCAAAGAAATTCATAAGAGATACAGAATAATTTTATAAGAAATCACCTAGGAAATTAGGCTCGATAGTATGTATTTACATACTTTGAAATGTATTGTACTTATTTCTCCACATATGATTTAAGTATAAACATAGTAAATGTGATTAAAGAATTATATATTACGTTATATTTACCTTATTGCGCTTATATATAAAATATGTATGTATATATGTATACACACATAGATATTAATATAGCAGCAAAACGTCATTGATAATGTCAAAGAGTATGATAGAAGCAAGCTAAATATTTGCATTGCTGTTATGCAAAATAAAAAAAAATATCTAAATAAACATGATTATGTCTTTTAATACAGCGCTTTCTCAATCCTAACTGCAAATGCTGAGTAAGTAGTTACATGTAATAGCAATAACGATCACTACAGCGTATTTTAAGTTATTCTCAGTCTTGTACGATAAGTACATCTTAGAATTGCGTACATTCACACAGATGAATGTCTGACGATGATAATATTCTAGATACCTCGAACATAAGGAGGGGAAGCATGACAATTTCCATGGCAGCTACGTGGCAAAACTAGCGAAAGGCGCCTCAAAGCTTCGGCTAGGCGGCCTGCAGCCCCATTTTGTTCACTCTCAGCGAAATCGAATTGCTCTCCGATGTTATCTTCACATAGAAGCAAATATGGACCGAATATTTTAACGGTTACCACAATTTCAAATCTACAAATTTTATCTCTGTTTAGGCGTTTCGTAGTATTCTATTGTTGAATTGCATTTATTTTTTTTTCTTTCTCTCTCTCTCTCTCTCTCTCTCTCTCTCTTTCTTTTTAATTATATAAAAAGGCTTGCTTTTTTTGATATCGAATAGTAATAACACCCAAAGTTTGTAATTATTAAAATAAAATGTTATTTCTTTCAGCTTTTATTTTTGTAAGCTTATATAATTTTGTAAACGCCAATTCTAATTATTATGAAGCTGTATCTATTCAAATATATTATGCCTATTAAAAGCACATTGAGAGTAGCAATTAATAAGAGCAACCAGCCACAAAAGCCATAGTTTACAAATATATTATGAACAAAATATCTAATTAAAATATATAACAGACGTAGCTTCAACCTTGCTTATAGAAGATTTCTATGATTATAAATTATTAAAAAATATCATCTATATCGTTTAATTTTAACGTAGTGTACGTCCTAAATCCCCGCACAATAACAAATAAGTTTGGAAATCTTCACCTTCATCGCAACTGACGATATGAGTCTCACGATAAAAATTCTCATCATAGTGCCATATTTGATGATATAATGATTGAATCATGAATGTATTATGATGATAAGACAGCAGTCACACTTTCTATAATTCAAAAATTTTCTAATCCCTGCATCTAGCATACATTTTGCTATGTAAAGATTGCTTTAAACGTAGAAGTATCTTGCAACATTGTTCCTATGTTTACGTTATTAATTTAATTCACTGTCTCTTTTTATTCCAGTTATAAAAAAAGTCAGTATTTATAATTTAATAGCTTCTCTAAAAAAAAATTGTATTTGCGAAAATGTGGGAAGCTGAGAGTGTAAGAAACTGCAAGTAGCAAATATAAATACAGACATATTTATATGAAATATTAAAAAAGTCAAATTAACTACAAAAATTTGACTACTGATAATACTCGATATAAACGCAGTTTTTCAATTCGTGAATATAACGGAACAATGAAAGTTTGAGGCGGTAATAATCTTTTAAAATATATAGGTAGGGTCTTTCTCATTTCATATCGAAGAAAGTCAACGTTGCATGCTCTGAAAAGAAGGAAGAACATGTATATGTTTACAAACCGACCGGTTTTATACACGCGTTACGTGAGAGTGAGTACTAAAATAATATACCATGCAAAAAGTTTAAATATTTCAAAAATTTGTTGTATCTTTTACAAGTACCTCTCACTACAAAATGTATAAAAGGAAAGTACTTCGCATATTATACATTCTTTTTTTTTTCAAACTTTACATAGTACGATGTACAATATCTTCTGCTACCAATCATCAGTGCATATTTGCATACGTGTAATATGTGCTTATGCAATAGTAAAAATAGAAAATCTCATACATGAGAGACACAGTGTGAAAATAATCAATTGTGTCAATAGGTAATACGGAAATGCTGAATGATGGATTGAAAAAACTTTATAAAGCGCTAATCAACAATGAAATTTCACAGTGCACACATGAAAACCGCGAATAATTTATGTCCAACGTCCAATTATATATATAAACGGAGCAGCTTGAGCAGAACTCTCAACGTGGTATTTTTGCCATTATTTGTTATCTGAGTTTAATATATCGACATCACTTGTTTAGAGACATGTAGGTCTCGTAATTCAAAAGTGATACATTTATCGCGATTGTATGTACACGCAAAACTACAGTTGTATATTTATAAATAACTACGTGCATCAATAGTTGTCGAACGCGGGTATTTCATCGATCACAGCTCAATTTATGGTGTTGGCATCTCTAAGTGGCGACATTATTCAATTTTGTCAGATGACAATCTCTGTATATATCCCGCTTTAATCTTACTCCTCTTTCTTCGTTACACGAGAGTTCCTTCAACGTCCAAATTACATTCCCGATGGGATTGATTAATAAAATATTAAGGTGCTTCGCGGCACGTGACAAAGCGCAATTCCTCATTCTATTATTCTAATTACCTGTTAACACGCACATCATAATTACACGGCCAGACACTTACGGCAAGAATACTCACGCGCCAGCACTTCTTTACGACGCACTTCTACCCCAATGATGGCTTCCATGGGAACTTCGGTACGCGGAATACTAACTGCATGTGGCGGCAGGTATATTGGTTCCAAGTTACCAAAGGAGCATTCTTGGGGGATATTCTTGTAACAAGAGGCGTGCAACTGAGAGACGAAATCAAATTTGTCATTTAGTATCATTTCAACGGGCAAGGGGGAGGGAGGGGCGGAAGGGGAAACTTTAATCACACATGCTAACGAAATTATGCTTTCCTTCTCCATTCGTAAGAGCCGTTGCGTATTACATTTGACTCGAAATAAATAAGTATAGCAATGCAATGTAATATTTAATTCTAATCCCGTTCTGACGGAACGGAATGAATGAGCCGCATAAAAAAAAACCAAAGGAAAGGCGATCTAATGAAGAATCTTTCTTTTACCGTCATGCCGCACCACTCGCAACGAAACCCGGCAAGGCACTCGGCAGTAAAACAGCTCTTCTTGCATGCAGCACATTTCGAGCTGCTGGGAAGATTGCCCTCCCGCCAGTGATGAGTGTGCTTCACTGCTGACAATTCCTTCCCAGGTAAGTATGTGGCATTCTCTTTGCAGTCTGCCACCGCGAAGTCTTGGCATTCGACATGCACAAAGCACTCGCAAACTGCGGGAGAAACGTAGAGTGCGATTAACATTTCGTATAATATACGCTAACGTCTATTAAAAAGCCTCGAATCTCTCATTTCGGATAGAAGCTTACTTTCGCAATGAATGGATAGGTTGTCGTCCAAACGTTTCCGACAGACGTTGCAAAATTTTCTCTTGCAATGCATCTGTTCGGACCAACAGTGTGCGACCGGGTTCTGGAATACGCCCAACGAAGGAAACTATTAATCTTATGTATTAACACTCAAGACACATTATAAGTCCCAGGAAACTCCTATGCGTTTTTTCTATTTTAAATCCTTATTGTGACTTGGGTTCTAATCAAAATTTTTAGACAACGATTGGTATTTAAAGGTAAAAAGAATTGCTCTTTCTCAAAAAACTAGCAATGAATGGAGTGAGATATCTGGAAAGAGATATAAAGATTGAAAGTGAAGGTAAAAAAGTAATCTCTCTGTCCTTGTCTATTTACCGATAAATATTCAATTATAATAAATTCAACAATAAATGTTTTCATCTACCTTTGTGAGTGGAATAAATCGATATAATTATTATATATCATTTAAATAATAATATTTATTCTTCTCAAAATGGGTTAAGGTTTCAATAGATGTTAAAGGCTACCGACACGCGAATGCATGGCAACAAGCAAACAGCTCTTCCTGAGTTCCGTTAATTTTAATTTCTAAAATCCACTTATTTTATTGTAACGTTTAGTTATTTTACGACATCCCTGGGAAGATTGCTTTCCTATATTCTAAGTATAGGCGTTATATTTATGCATATAGGCGGGTTAATCCTTGCGGCGTGGAGACGGATCCGTTGTCTTACCTTAATCAGGCTTGCCGCGATGCTGGAGCAGGGAGAGACGACGGCCTTGAGACAGCGGTCGTGCACCACGAAGTTACAAACTGCAATGAGAGGAGGAAAAAAAAATGAGAGAGAGAACTTTGGAAATCCTGAGATTAATTGCGTTAAATCGAAGAGCGTTACCGGCTAAGCAGTGTATATGTACACTTTAGCATAAATCAATACGAGAGCCGCTCATGTCGTAATTTATAACAAGATCTTCTGACCTTTCGCGATGTAAGTAAAAAACGTCGAGAATCATACACGGCTGGCGTTATTTAATGCTTTTGCCGTGAACTGGACGGCAAATATGCGAGTGGCGGTCCACCAAACTTTCACAGAAACCAAAAGAGAAGAGATAACTATATATATATATATATTTACTCGTTTATTACATATCTATATATACTTGTTTAGAAAATCAGTTTTGTTAATCCTTGGGCGTTCTTTTTACCTAAATATTCTTTAGGAAAAACTGACACATGCTTCCCTTCGCTTCTAAAATAATACTCGACAGAGTCTAGCGCAAAGCCGATACTGCACTACAAGTCTGTTAATGTTATCGATTACAAATTTAAGAGTCAACATCGAGAGCGTTGCGCTGTTTCCGCCGGAGTGCGGCCTCGAGTTGCGGAAAAAGTGAAATGACTCGTTCGGCAATTTCTCGAGAATGGATATATTCCAGGGTCGGCAGAGGTGACGATCAGAGGCAGCGTCATTCGCGTATCCGTCATCCACTCGATACAAGGTGACGGGTGTCGCACGGTGTTTTCTCCCCCCTCGCGGGAGCGGTAATGATCGCGTTCTATCGCGCTCTTGCGACGCTAATCAGGCAAGATGTGGGAAATTTGTCGCATCGGCGCGCAGGTGCGGCCCGAAATAGTACTGTGCATCCGCTTCGTTAAGAAGGCGCCATCAGCCGCCATCGACGATCGACCGTCGTTCCACGAATGCCGAGTTAACTTTAACTCGCCGAGTGGGTAGCTCAAATCGAAAAGAAGAGGTACTCGTCATCGCCGTGAGAGAAGGAGGACCCGTTCGTTTACTTGTGTCTTTTACCCGAACGGGCTCTTTCCACAAGCAAATCGTAAAAGATCATCATCACGCGTTAGAACACTCGAGGAGGAGCGTTCGTTTAACGGACGTTCCAGGCAACGTTTAAAGTCTGTTCTGCAGACACATTTTGCGACGCTTAAGATCTGTTCCAGGCATTTGCCACGTTTAAGGTCTGCTCCAGGTATTTCCAATGTTTTAAAGTCTATTTCACGCATTCATAATAATTAAAGTCTATTCTATATCTCAATTCTAAAGTCATTGCAATATTTAAAGTGTTCTAAACGCATTTGCAACTTTCACTGTTAAATTTGTAGTGTCAAATTTAATTCTATTTAAGTCATCACTGCTTCTACTTAATATATAGTTATTTTTAGCTAAAACAATAGTTACTTTTAAATAAAACAATGGAATTTAACCCAAATTTCAACCATTATTTTAGTTAAAAATAACTTTATTAAGGAGCAATGGCGACTTAAATAAAGTTAAATTTGACGCTATAGATTTAACAGTGTTTAAAGTCTGTTTATCTTTTAGGTGTTTGCAATCTTTAAGGTTCGTTCCAGGCATTTATAACGTTTAGTCTTTATCCGAATTCCGGAATTCTTTGACGCACTTGCAGTTATACATGTTCGATTACTTCCACGGTGCACGCGAGTATGCAAATCTGTCCTGTAATAGACCGTTAATGTATGTATGTATATACATACTCAGCCGTGACAATCTTGCCGTGTTTATGTCATCGTTCACCAGCCAACGCAAGCTGTGCCATTCGACTGCTCGAATACGTAATCACGAGTGACAAAGCCGAAGCGCTGAGAGAGTAGATAAGATGAGAAACAATTCTTTGGAGATAATAGAGGCAAGAAAGGAAATTAATGTGGCACACACCGTGTGATTTAGAAAGATCCTTCTGAAACACTCTCCGAGGAAGGGTCTTGCTATACGTTCGAGTTTCCAGATCTGGAATCATGTTTGTTTCTTCACCCGTATTTCTAGACACCCTTTTCCTTTCTCCTCGAGAAACGAACACGCTTTTACTCTAAACGCGAAGAATATAACGGGAGAAAAAAAATCCATCTCTCGCGAGTCGGTCTTGTCTACATCGCGTTCGAGAACCGCTAAAATTATATTAGACTGAAAGTGGTAAATGCTTTGATGCGTGCGTTAAATCGTGCTTCCCTGATGTGAGAAAAAAAAACGAGAAATCCCCCTTGCGTTTCACTAATTCTTTGATAATCATATAATAATCTCGAGTATACGGCGGGTATCGGTTTTCAATATACAGTATTAGGTGATCACTTTGGGACTCTCTGCATGCTTTTATTACTCGATTAGCTTTCGGAGCAGGTGGTCGTCCTATTTATAACGATCCCGATCGATCAGTAGCAGCGCGATAAGTTAACCAAAATTGCTTTGACTAAGGATATTGTCATGCTTTTGAAGAATCGACTTTCGAATGCCGCGAAGAGCGCCGTCGCGACCACCCCTCGAATGTGGACATTTCCCGCAGCCAATTCGGGTCTTCGCTCTGTATTTCTATACGTAGCAGGATCTTATCTATTATAATATAGACCGTTTATATAAAGGAAATATTATAATTTCCTTCTACATTTTTTTTTTACTTACACAGAGGAAAGAACAGAGGAGAAAACCCACACCAGCAAATGCATGCGTGGAGTATTAATTAATATGTATCGCGGAACGTTTCTTCCGTACCGTGCAAGATATTCCCGCGGAATAAACGCACGCGATCTAAAACGGCGCAGTGAAACGCGACACTTTAGATTTTCATGCATTCGATATACAATATCATTGTGATACCCGATATATCATATACATACATATATATATATATATATATATATATATATATATATCATTAACGGACAAGTTTTTTCATTAGCAGCGTAAAACTCGCCGTGCTTTGGCAATCAATTTTCGCTGTTAAAGAAAGATTACTCAAGAAGAATGAAAAAAGGGTACACTGCTCTCTTGTACACGGATACGAAAGAAAGGATATGACAGAGTATGCTCTTAATCTGGGTAAACGCGAACATGTTAAGACGGGGAGCAAAAATAGAGATGGGCAAGACAAGGAAAAACCGTGGAAATTTGATAACGACAGGAGTAACCCGCAATACATATCAAACTATAATAATAGTTAAAAAAACTGCAGAAGTTGAATGACGACAAGGCAGGAGTAATAATATATAAGTATCAAACAATCATCATGAGATATACATATATTAATACACCCATTTTCATCGTATTCAACTTCTGCAGCTTTTTTTCAACTTCTAAAAGCGTTTCACGAGCATGATAAGCGAGTCTCTTGGTACGTCCCCGTCTTATAGACGTAGGACGGTGGGATTCAAATCCACGATTGCGGCTCCTGAATTACGCTACCGGCGACGCACGCAGGCTGCACAGCCAAACATGGCTATACAATGGCTATTATCAATCAGAACGTCAAGTAGTTATTGGAAGATCTTGCACGGAAAGCCGAATAATAATAACATAATCAATATTAGTTAAGATTAGTTTCTCAAGTGCATAGCGTTGTCCTTTAGATTAATTGATTGATCACAGGTTGATGATCAGTGTATCCCAGACGTTTTTTTTTTTCATATATCTGAACCTCGAGCAGACTCTATTCTCTTTTACTCTTTTTCTTTGGACAAAGCTTACGCAAAATAAAATTGATATCTTTAATTTTTTATAAGAAAAAATTGTTTGTACAATAATTCAAGAAGAATTACTTCAGATTATATAATCAACAGATTATTCGTATAACTCTATATTCAAATATATAAATATAACTTATCTCTCTTTATACTCCAAATTCGAATAAATTATGAATTATTTGAATGTCAGTTTTTTAGCTTTAAATAAGCTTTCGATGATATTGTATCATTACTGCAATCTGACTGACACAATTGCGCGAATAAAATAAATTCATATGTCATTTCGGGCTCCATTATATGTATGAGCCAAGATACTGTGGAAAATATAGCAAATTGCAGGGAGCGCAAGAATGAACTAAATAAAAATTGCTGCTATTTGTTCACCGTGCTAGGTGGAAAGAGTGTGTAGTAAATTATATGTTATTCTCAGAATCATGTACTCTTGAAGAATCATGTTGATGCTCAGTTTAACTTATTCAGTTTAAACAACATCCACATTTCTTTTGTTTTAATATTTATTTTACTATTTCAATAGTATATTCTCTCTTTTAATCTTGCCTCTCGAATTTCTATGTAATCTCATATGTGTATTATTTATTGTTACCCGATGTGTGTGTCTAACTAAAAAAAAAGATTAACGAGAAATATCTATAATTACAGTATTCCAATCTATTAATGTAAAACACAATATTACTTGTTATTAAAATTAAGCATGATTCACTCATCCTGTGGTTGCTGACCAAACATAATGATTGGAAGATTAGCTAATGCACAATCAAGATACCGAAGGAATTATTATCGCGCGCGTCATCGCGCGTGATTGCTGCATCGAGATTTAGGGGGGTAAACATTACTTTACAAATTACATTTGCATTACTTTATCATCGTTATTATGTCGCGCGTTATTGCAAAATGGGATGGTCCGCAAGCAGAAGATTACTTCACTCTCTACATTACAATTTGTTTTTGAATCATTGGCATAGGAAATTATTGTTACGCGCTATCCTCATATCATATTTCTAATATCGTACCGCCACAGGCTTTAATGTTCACCGCCGTTATATAACGTTGTTATAAATGATTTGTTACGCGGGAATCGGGATGTCATACATATATTATGTGACGCGTATACGGTAACGGATGTGTCAACTGAGACCTTTATCTCGTTCTGCGTATATGAAAACTAGAAACCTTTTATTATACACGATAGTACGTAAATGGGTTGCAGCCATAAATAATTATCTAAATTTTACAAATGAAATAGTTTTAGATTATTTAATACGTTTTTATGCGCAATATTATTTAACGAAAACAAAATATCGAAAAATTAATATTTAAAACCGATCGATATATAGTATAAGAAAATTGTTACTATTCTAATTACTGATCACTAATACTAATCATTTTATCGATCGTGTAAAATTTAACAAACTATAATTTTTCACCAAATACATGTCTAGTATATTGCGATTGTTCAATATAAATAAATATATTACCGTACGATATAATAACAGTTAACATTCAAAAATAATACATCCCAAGTAAAAAGTAAATATAAAAATCGAATTGTCTCAAACGAGTTTGTAAACAGCTATTAGGATTTTATATCACAGATTGAATTTAAACTGACAATGCTAAGTATAATTTGCAAACATAAAAACAACTTTATTTAAAGCAGCCGACGGTAAAGCGATCAATACATTGTGTAGCAAGGTTTAACAATGGCTTTAGAAATATAACGCTTTATCTTCACCCTTTGTGAAGTTAGCATCCCATTTCTAGGATTTCGATATAATTGATAGAGTTCTGACTCTCTCGCACGCTGAACAATTCTGGAGTTCCTGATACGTCTCGAGAAAAGTTCGGACGATTGAATGCAAAAAAAAATAGTAGTCAGAAGAAGATATGCCAATTTCACATTATACCAAGTACGTAATACACTATACGAAGTAAATGACTGTTTTTTTTAAATAAATTTTTAAATTCCATAAATCAAAAAGGTTCTTTTGGAAATCTGATATGTTATTGAGATCTTGATTAAAATAGAAAAGTTATTGTTGATTTTCATATTAAACGTAAAGTTGGCGTCTCATATCTTTAAATCCTTATTTTTTTTCATCTAAAAACTTTTTGAAGTGATTAATAATGAAATGTAAAGTTTCATTCGTGTAAAAAAAACAGCGCAATATCATAAAGACATTTGAAAAACAGTATACTCTTACTTCCGGAGATTATAATGACCCAATATAATCTTTCCTGAATAAAACAGTGACAACTTCAGAGACAACTTCTTTTTGCATGAACCATATCCAAGTAACGACTTGCCTATCTTTACAGTGCCCTCCCTAATGACCTGCCCCAGACAGCGCCATGTCCGAAATCGAGATATAAGGGTCCTTAAGATGTCATTAAGACGTCTTTTAGCCTCCGATCTACGACAGCTATAGTAAGCTTCAATCCGTAAGAAATTGTTCAATCATAGTCGACTATTCTCCTCACATTTGACTGTGATCGGTCAATTTTTTACAATTTAAGCGGCTCACTATACTTATTGTAGATCGAGATTTAAATATCATATCAAAAGACGTTTTAAAGACGTGTTTAAAGCTCTTTCGGCAGACGTTGCAATTTTTCTTGTTTGCAATTTAGTAAATTATTAAAAATTCTGCGCTTTGTGTGGTGCAATTTTACCTAATTTATTAAATTGCATGCAATTCAGCAGAAAGAAAACGCATCGTGTGTCGTAGGCTTAAGACACCCTTTACACATCTCATGTCCCGGATTTTATGTACTTTCCAGGGTCGTTACGTCCTCAACGACCTGTTTAATGATCGTATTTTCCTGACAAACTTTTTTACTGCCTACAAGCGTCTTTCTTTTTAAATGTTGAACATATATCTAGCACTAATATCCATATACGTCCCCGCCAGTCGAGTTTATTCTCGACGAAAGGCTTGAAAACAATCGGAATCCGCCGCCGAACGCTGCGTGGGGCTCGTTATACATCCGAGGCGACTCTCCTGATCGAACATTCCGACGTGTTTGAAAGAGTGCGAGAGCACGGCTCGTTCCGCTCGCGTTACAACGAAGGTCCTTTACGCCTCTTTACCCGTCAGCGAGCTCTCACGCTTGCCCCCACTTCGAGACAACCCTCTTTGCCGCCGCCGCCGCCGCCGCCGCCGCCGCCGCCGAGCGCCCGCGCGCCCCTTCAACCCCTTCCACTTCGGCAACCTTATCCATGGTCTTTCAGCCATACCACCCACCCCTCGCGATCAATGCTCATGAAAAGGTGGGCGCGCGTTCGCGCTCGCGCCCTCTGCGTACGCCGTCGCCCCCTCCCCCACCCTGTCGCTCCCTCTCGCTCTCTCTCCCTCCCTCCCTCCCACTTTTTCTAGCCTCTCTGTTTTTCTCGACGGGATCTCACTCCGTTTCTCTCTATCTCTCTCGTCTGCTGTTGCACCGATCCGCGCGCGGCTGGCGCTAAAATGCCCGAGAGACTCCGAGAGAGAGAGAGAGAGACAGAGAGACTCGGGCACTCGGAATGCAGCATCCTGACCCGATTGAACGGGACAGCCTTGTGTCGCCTCCGCGCTCATCCGACATCGGTATCGGTCGATCGCGAATGTCAATGGGAATCGCGACCTACGACCACGCGAGGAGAAAAATATCCTAACGAATGAGTTACCGAGCCGTTACCGAGCGCGGTCGGACTATCGATCGTCTCGCGGTCACGTCGAGAGCGCCCGCTTGAAATTTTAAAGATCCCCAGCACCCTCGCGAGGGACCGTTTACTTCCTTCCCTCTTTTCTCCGACAGGCCGGGTCCGCGACTAATCCGACCCGATCGGACGGATCGCGAGAGGAGACGTGCAGAAGCTTCGACTCGAATCACCGTAAAGATATACGGATATACTTAGATATGGAAAATCGAGTCTCCGGGATTGCGCAAGTATTAAACTCGAGGCGCGTTCGTACGCTCGTTCCTCGCGAAAGTTGTGCGCAACCTCCGGCATGGGCAAGATCGGGAGATGCGTACTCTCCCCGTGGGAGACGTGTCCAGAGAACTTTACCGTCATTCTCTACCTTTCCTCTTCTTGTCTTACAATTTTTTTTTTTCATTTACGTATGCAGAAAGATTATTATATATCGTTGCGTAAATTGCAATCGTCGTTACTTTGCAATTGTTCGTGGCGCTCGTCTCCCCGGAGAACATAAACGCTTCTCTCTCTCTCTCTCTTCCCTCTTTTTCTCGCCGAGTCTATCAACGCTCCTGGGTTGACGTCGATTTAATTCTATCGTGCGCGCCGCCGCCACCGCCACCGCCACCGCCGCCGCCGCCGCCGCGCGATGATCATCCTTACCTTCGCAGATGTACCCCTGCTGTATGAGGCCCCAGAGCATGTCCGTACAGCTATGGCAGTACGTCGGCTTGTGGAATGTCTTCTTGCTAAAAGTATGCCCATGGCTAACTGGAGTCTCGGTCGAGACCGACGCCATATTCCCCGTTCCACCGCGGTACCGTTCACGCCAGATTTTCACGCCGTGAATGTACGCAGGGCGCGCCGCGTGTGGATGACAACATAGTTAAACGCCCGACACTACGTAATCTCGAAGCCGTATGCGTACATTATTGCGTTGCTGTGGTGATGGTAGGAGTCGTTGCTGGCCGCACGCTGGCCCACTCGCACTGTCGTCGTCGTCGTCGTGGTCGTACCGTCGTCGTCCCGTACGGCGCGTCCTCGTCGTAACGTCGTCGTCGTCGTTGTTGTCGCGCCTAACACGCATTATTCCACGAGCTGCGCCACGGAACGATCGACGCGCCGGCAGCCACGATCCCGCGCGCCAGATGCGTCGTCGTCGTCGTCGTAGATCGCCACCAATCCGCCTGCTGCTGCTGCTGCTGCTGCTGCTGCCGCTGCTGCACCGATCGCCACCATTCCAATCTCGCGACCGCCACCGAACATCACCGCCGTCGTCGCTGCTGCCACTGACGCTGCCCACCTCGTACTCCTCGTCGCCGGGAATCTCGCTGCTGCTCGCGGTCGCCTCGTTCGCGATACGATGCGTGCGACGACGTCGCGTACGCGCATCCGACGAGCCGCCTCTGCCACTTCAGCTGCCACTTCTGCCGCCGCCGCTGCTGCTGCTGCTGCTGCTGCTGCTTCTGCTGATCTGAGCGTGGCCGCACTGACATCAGCCCCTTTTCGTCACCGCCACCGGCCAGTGGCGGATGCGCTGCCCTAGCGGCCTAAGTGGGGCGTCATATGGGGGCCGAGCCGAGCCGAGCCGAGCGAGCGGGGATCCAAGCGAGATGCGAACCGCCCTCTTCCGAACCCGTAGCGGCCGTAGCCTCGAGGGCGCGCGCTCTCGCTCTCTCTCTCTCTCTCTCTTTCCCCCGTTTTCCCCGATTTACTTTCGATGGATCGTTCTCATGTTCGATTTCTCCTTTCCGCAAAAGATTCAAGTTGGTATCTTTGCTCCCACGTGCGGAGCAAGTGTCGCTCGAGGGGTCCGGATAGGCGGAAAAACGGAGCACCGGAGTCGCCGATCGGAGCGCGGTCCAAAATACAGAAATTTCCGAACGGGAACGGGGGCTTCGTTCTCCAGCACTGTCGATGGCGACGGAGCGCGTATCTGCCCGTTGCGCTGCTCCACGATCCCTCGTATAACGCGAGCTCGCATATACACGTCCCTTCGCGCCGCTAGCGAGCACAGCTTACGCCGTCTATTTCCGATCGGTCTCTCTCTCCCTCTCTCTCACGCGAGACTTGCGTTTCAATAACATCATGTTGAACCCGAAAACCGAATGTCCGCGACGTGCTATACGTCGCCTCGAACGGCGATGACGGCGCCGATACGTCGCGCTCACGCGACACCACAGCACGAGCTCGTCCGGGCGCGCGCGGATCCGAAATACCCCTTTCTCGCGGTGCTTATACCGATTCTCGCCTCGAAACTTTCGATTTAATCGAACATCGGCCGCGCGATCGGTCTCCCCGATTTAATCTCCGACGACTGCAGGCATCTGTATCACTTTTCCATCCGGGTGAGCAACTCCACCGTGATGCGAACCACGACGCAACGCAACGTTACGACGGCGATCTCGTCAGTATAGTACGTATATATCGTTCAAGCTCACGCGGTACGTACCTATACCGATCACCGTTAACGCAAACGCGACCGTTTGGCAGACGCGCGGCCAGCACAGCACCGCTCGGCGATTGCGATGATCGGGATGACGCCCGACGTCGACGACAGTGTATGACGACGGCGATGGCGTCGACGTCAGTGACGGTGGCCGCGACGCGCGAGCGGTACGACGTCGACGTCGTTTACCGCGGCGGCGCGCCGACGCGACTCCCTCTCGCCCCGCCGCGACTTCCCTCCACCACGCGCGCGACGCGCCTCGTGTCACGCATCCGCCGCGGCCGCGCGCCCGTGTGCCATTGTGGACTCCACCACGTCGCGCGAGTAATAGGCACGAGTTAGATCTCTCTCGCCCCTCGCCTGCTCCCCCCTCTCACCTTTCGCGAACCCTCGCGAAATCCACCCTCGTTCTCGCGGTTGCCGATTTGCGGCCGCTCGATCGGTTCGTTTACTCGCGATCGAGCGAGCCGTGCGCTGTCGTACCGCGCGGATGCCCTCCTCCCCTTCCGACCCTATTCTTCTTCCCGAACGCTATCCGATCTCGCGCGCGCGCCCGCGTGCAACACCGTGAATAAGGACGGCAAAAGGTATAACGGCGACAGAAAGCGGCAGCGCGTTCCATTTAATCGCTGCCTCTCGATAATGAATGCTGCCTATTATCGTCGCGACGCCCGTCGTCCTCGCATTGTACGTCGCGCGCCCGTGCGCGCGCGCGCGCGCGCTCGCTCGCTTTCGTTTTCGCGCTCTCGCGTCTGCAACGCGCGTCGTGTGGGATATACACGATTGCACACGCATACATACACATACGTACATACGCGGCCACAATGAGTCACGTGAATCGAGGGAGTTGCGGACGCTTCGCGCTGGATTTTTCAATAACGGAAGCACGACGGGGGTGGCACGCATTTTCACATCCCTGTCACGTCCCGTTGTATTCATTAAACCGTCTGCTGCACATGCCTACATTGACGGACATTATAAAGTTATATCTCGCCGCGCTTTCTCTCTCTCTCTCTCTCTCTCTCTCTCTCTCTGTTTCTCCAGCCTCTCATCTCTCCCATCTCTTTCTCTCACTCTCTCCGTCTTTCTCTCTCTCTCTCTCTCTCTCTCCCTCCTTCTCCTTTTCTCTATTGTGTGATCGAACGTGAATGAAATGGGTTTAAATTTCAATACGGGAGAGAGAAGCACGCTAAATAAGTACATCAACTGCCGTTATTACTAACTACTGTTATAATCACGTATATACGCTTCTAAGTAGTGCGCTAGAAATTCAAACATATATCCCTAATTGTAACTGCCATATAACATAGATGTAAAACATGTAAATTTACATATATGCACATGACAGTTAAATCTGTATTTACTGAGATATATTCGTATCGTTGAATTCGATGACAGTTTCAGCATTAAAAAGCGTGAATTTGAGAAAACGCAGTGATCTCGATAACGGGTTTCTATAATTTGTTTTTGTCTTTTAACTTTGTGAGAATTTTGCGGATCGAAAAACGATCATCCTCTTTTAATTGTGCGACATAAAACTGTACATGTGATAATACAATGCAATTGCATTATCCTTTAGCAAATGTCAAGCATAAAACTATACGGCCTCCAACTCGTCTAGATAATTCACCAACCGTTTAATCACTGGGACATACACGAGACAATTAATCGATCGTCACTTAACCCTCCGTCGGCAATGTGAAATTTTCACATCAACCTTGGTTCACATAAGTGGAATGTTGAGATCCACGGCAGATTTTTTTATTATTCCGGATTATATAAAAATCCGAAAAAATTTTTGTATGCTTGTGAAACCTAAAATAATAAATTTTTGTCATAATAGAAGTCTATAGAATAGAAGAGTTTTATCATAATAGAGGATTGTATTTTGCTTATCTTTTTACAGATTTAAATGGAAAAGATCTTTTTAGATTATAATATTTGAGGATATGTATTATAGAAAAAAAATAGTACGTATAATGATATTGGCTTTTTTATGAAAAAAAATTATTTCTACAGCGGATTAATTATTAAATTTCGTTTGTTTTAATTAAAATGAGTACAATGATACCAAAATAAAAATATTATAGAGTACAACCTTTATGATACATATACCGGTTTGCTACATAAGGCACAGTAGTACATTTTCTAATTGTTTGATCAATGACAAAATAATCATTTTTACTATTAACAAAAGAATTTTCTTATATATTTATTAAAATTAATACAAAAAAAGTATATGAAACATTTAAAAAATCTATTTTAAATGTAAAATCATATATTTAAATTATAATATTGAAATTAGCGTTAAAAATATGTATAATATGAAAAAAAATCCAAATTTTTTATTTGCGCAAAATACATTTATGCAATTTATAACTCGAGTCATTAAAGACACAAGCATGACTTCTATTGTTTCTTTGTAACGAAAAAAACAACTGGATATTGGCACCCTTGTACATGCATACACAATGTCAAGTTTTTTTAGAAAGTGAGGGGGTGCGATACCAAACTCCGTCAATTTATCCATTCTTTTAAAAATTGACAAAAAATCGACTTAAAAGTGCCAGATTGCCGGCGGAGGATTAAAAATATATACATATGTTATTGTTAAATACACGCAATATTAATACTCTGTGCTAATGTTATTTAAACGTGTAAATCATTTGGACATGTTTAAAGAGGTTTATAAGTCCTGATCTTTTCGCACGGTCTTTTTGCTGATCGTCGCTTTTCTGGGCATTCTCTTATTTAAGAGTTTTAAAACAGCTTCGAGAAATTATTATTCAGTGCAATAATAACTGTAGATAAGCTGTCTGTTTTTATGTACTTTATTTTTTTTGGACGGAGCGTAAAAGCATCGTCTTTTGTCAATGCAACATTTGGTCTTAACACAATACATATTTCATTCTTAACATCGATAAAGTCTTATCCTACAGTCCGGTCGTTTCCGTCGAACGTCAGCGGTAGCAACAAAAAGATAACTTATCAACTATTTTGATTTCGTTTCTGACAAAGTATGTACATTATTCTGCTCTGTATAATTCGAAAGTTTATAACGCAATACAAAACGTTTACGAGCGCATCTACGAGCGTGTCGCAGACTAATTGTGTCGTTGTAAAGAGTGCAAGGATTAAAATGTTATGACTTTTTAATTGATCTAATAAACGTATACTAAGACTCTCTGCTTAAGATAAATATCGACAAGACATCGTATAAGTTTCGACAATCGCAATAAGATACAAGCAGAATAAAAAACGGAATAATTTTAAATGCGTTAATAATAAAATGGCGTTGCGCAGATACGCAAAATATAATATTTAATCGAGTTGCAATAGACGGAAATATAAAATATAAATCTCGTCGCGCTCTGTCTCTCTCTTTCTCTCTCTCACTCTTAATAATCGTGTAACAATGTCATGCCTCCCCGCTTTTAAAGTCTTATCAATTTTCACGCGATGTTTATATGTAACAAAAAGACTATAAAAAATCGAGCCGAAAGGATATATATGTATAATTACGTAAATACATTTTATACTCTTCTAAAATCATTAAAAAGAAGCAACTGCGTGTTGAACACTAGAAACGAGCACGCTGTTTATTGGGCACGAATATCCTCTCGGAATTCCGAATCAGATTCAATTACATCCATTATTATTAGATATGTGTATACAACGCGCGTGTATATATATCGTAACGTATAAATGTTACAAGCGAATATATATATATATATATATTTAAGAATATACTTAACTTATTGTCTGATCTTTAACATGGAAAGTACAAATCGAGATTTCTAATACATGTTGGTATACTTCGATTGCACGTTTCTCAACGGTGTGTACATTTATGTAACAAAATATCTCGATTCATTTCAACAATTGCATTGGACACGAAAATCGATAACTTTTACATTTTCTTCGCTAAACTACATATGCACGCTTTAAGCATCATAAAAATACACGGTACAATTTAACTCTTCAACAAGGATGCGGAGGCTTTTATATATATGTCGCGCGCCAAACATTTCTAATGGACTACTGCCAAGAAACTGAATTTAAATCCCTTCAAATTGTGTTGCTCGATAAGATCATCAGTGAGATATATGCTAAAATAATTACAATATTCTTTAACTCTTAACTGTGTTGTGACGTGAAAATATTTACTATCACATTTATTACGGAATCAGGAAAGTTAAAAAGATAAAGATAAATATATAGATAAAATAAATATAGGATAAACATAGGATGTATTTCAGTCATCGGATTGTCATCAGCCTAACCCTAACTTATATACGTTTCTAAGATATTAAATATTGTTATTTAAAAAAAATCTATAAATTAAACCGTAGATTAGTGTATACATACATACACATACTAATCTACAATGTAATTTATAGATTGTACATATAGGATGAGATCAAAATATATGTGATGAATTCAAAATCGAATAGATTAAAACTTGTGATTCAATTCAAATAAACTTAATTTTTTTTTTATTTCAATTGTTACTTTTTTCTTATTTATAATTGCCTGTTTAACAGAAATTGAAAAATTGATAAAAGAAAGTTAAAAAATTTGCAAAAACAATGGTCTCTTAAAATGGAAATATCGTTATATCAGTTAAGAGTTAAAGATAACTACATTCTTATAATTACTCTAAAAAATACTAATATTTTCTAATTATTCTAAATCTGTTTGAAGAAAGACGAATCGGTAATAAAAATGTAATCTTTGATATATTCGACTTGTTTAAAATTTCAAGTAGCTAATTAATTAGTAATTACCAATTCCATAAATTTCGAATTTAATGATTATGGACCAGTGACTTTCCGTAAATAAATATTTGCAGCTAATATTTGACAAACATACATCATGGCATATTTTAATCTTATTATTTATTAATTATAATTACTAATTAAATTTGATCAATTTTAACATTCACTAATGATAAGAACTTTGGCTTTTAAATTTTATCAAAGAATACACGTTTGTTGCCGATTCACCGATCTTTCTGTACGCAGTCTGTATACTTCTTAACATTTCAACCAAAAGATATTCTTATTATGTATAGATTATAATTCTTTTGCTAACAATAGTTAAAAATGTGCAGACTTATTATTGTGTGTATATCCATATCCCGGAGAAAGATCCGGAATTTCATTGATACATTATGTAATACAGAATATGATATTTAATTAACAATACATCACATCTCGCGAGTGATTGTGTATAAATAACATATGTTTCAAACTTAATGCAAATGCTAGATTTATATGTATTCACTTCACTCAACCGTAACACATCTCGTATTATTATAGTAAGTAGAACTTCCGTAAAGAAAAGAAAAAAGTTTTTAATAAGCTAAGAAAATCATGTTTCTCGATTTTCCGCACTATAAGAAACGCGAAATTCTATGCTGTCTCTATCATTGATAATTTTTTAAATATTTAAATGTCATTTTTTCGCTCAATAAACAGATCACGAAGCCATGAAAGTTTCAAATTACAAATCGCTTTAAACAAAATGAAATAGGTGTTAAATAGACGGCGTGTTTATTTATGTATACTTATATATTAAAACACGCCTGATTGCCATTGTCATTGTATCTTGTATTTGTTGATTCGATAGAATTATGTTAAATGTGACTGGCTTGTAAACATGCACAAATATATTTTATTTGAAGCTAAAAAAAACTCTAGGCTGAAGAAATGAGACTTATGATTTATATTCGCTGTATCATTAAAATAATAAATTTGATAATTGAAAATATATTTGCACACGTCAAAATATTTATATATTTTTTCTCTTTTCTTAATTTTTCAAGCTCAAGTAACGACATGGAAATTGCGTTAATGGAAATATGGAATGGTAAAACATAGTTGTGTGTGTGTGGGAATGTAGGCTTACGAAGAAGTACGCGTATCATTTGAAAGAATATTATCCCAATCCGTGATCCTCGAAGAATCCCTGGGGAGTCTCCTCCTGCAACACATACACAAGAGAGCAAGTTTAATGACACCGTAAATTGGAATATGTCTTGTAATAATATGAACAGGGATCAATTACTTTGACGCTGCACTTTATGAAACACATTACGAAAAAATAGAATGAAAATATATATGTATATATATATATATATATGTATATAAGCGTACACGTACCTACGTCACAATAAAATTCCCTTCTTGATGCAGCTTCAAATGGTGAACTGAACCCTTTTCATATAACTGAGTAACTTTTTTACTTGTTTGGGTACACAAAGCGCATGTTCATGTATTGCCTCGATCGAAATTTTAAGCACCAATAAAATAATTGCTTGTTTTTTACATGCAACGTGTCGAATTGTGGAGATCCCATCCTCCAGATGGGATCATAGTGATTGCGATACGGCTGAATATGCTCACACCGCGCGATGGCTTACAATAGACAATATCCAGCCAACACATTATTTCGTTGCCTTTGCGAATCTCTTATATTATTTACTAATGAACTAATAATTTTTACTAATACACAAACTAATTTCATCAACAGAAACATGAGGTGTCAATTTTACCTGCGATTAACGTAAATGATTGTACAGCGATTGTAAGTGATTGATATAGCATAGGCTAAGAAGGTATTATGTGCGCTAATTTTCAATTACAATGTAAAGATTTCGTACGACATATTTATTACTAGTACACTTAATGTATAATGACATCAAAAATTGACGATGCTTATATAATATATGAATATGTACATATATAATATATAAAGAGTATAAAGAGATATATATGTTTCCAATTATTTCTATAGTTAAGATAGGTTCCTCTTTTTCTTTTTAAGTAGATACATAGACGCGTAAGAAATATACGTTCTATGCAATATATAGTCACATTAATACTGACGCTTTTCAGTAGTACATATACAACAATTTTTCATAAAAATAGCTTACGAATACAGATAATTTTATTGCCATAGTTGAAGATTAAAGTACGTAGAGGAGGGTAACTATATATATCACTTACTCGTTAATACGTATGTTATAATTAAGGTTTAAGAACCGTAGTTCAGCCTTTGGTTAGTAACATAACAATTTGTTCTATGTGCAAGAGAGAATTTTTCTCGATATAAAAAATATATTAACATACACAGAGAGTGCTCCAGGCATCGTGCACTTTCTTTCAACTGTGATTATTGAAAACCGATACTAAGAAAGAGAGAGAATATTTTTATATTTACTTTGTCTATTCCAATTTCAAAGAAACAAGTTTTCGAATTAAAAGTTCCGAATATAAAAATAATAGTTGATTTTTCAAGTTTTTAAATATACAAGAAAATGTTATATATTTTCTTTAATTTAATAAATAAACAGTGACAAACTTAAATTGCCATTTGAGAAAATTTTAAATTGCCACTTGATGTATTTCATTAAAAAAGTTAAAAAAGAAAAGAAAATTGATTTTTGAATTTTTTTATCAATTTGTCTTCCCTCGAGTTTTCGTTACAGAAGAAAGAAAATGTATGATGCCTCAACAGTCTCGTATATGACTAGTAAAGTTGACTTGAGAATTTATGTATTTATATATAGTAGAGTCGTAATGGCATCATGCAGCGGGTAAGCCTTTTCTTGTTTTTCGGTCGATCGTGTGGGTCGATACTCTGTCCATGAAGCTCATGCAAACAATAGGGTACCTATAAAAGCCCTACCTCCCGCAGAGCACTTTCCACAGCTTCGTCCTTCCACAACAAACAAAGAAAAACCAACTAGTCTTCGCTAAATTTCTACTTTGTCCTTATCTACCATAGGCTTAACACACATGATATTACACTGTGCAATATGTTTAACATGTAAAACGCTACAATATTGGTTCTCTACGTGTAAAAGTTTCATAGTATTCTTTCTAAGTCACATTAAAATTATTTTAAAATATTCTCTTTCAAACATTAGGAGTGTTATGTATAAATGTAGAAGACATAATATTCCGTTGACATATTTTACTTAGTTTAGAGAAAAGTATATAACATATGAAATAATTGTTCTCAACAGGCACAATAAGTTACTAATTATCAACCAATTACAATAACTTTAAATTTTACAACCTTTGCTTTTAACATTTTTTTCCAGGAATCATAATTAATTAACATGCCACACTTCAAATGCCTTATCCTGTCTAACAATAAGACAGTTGATATTAATAATAAAATTGCGTAAAATTCTTTGTAATTCGATATTTCTGTGAAAAATAAAACTACATGATACATTACTTAGAAAACAAAATATACGAGACAAGTGTTACAAAATGAATACAATTGTTGAAAAGTATTTATTAGATTTTGAAGGCATACATATACACATATCAACATTCTGTTTATAAACGGCAACATATATGTAATAGTACACTTCTCATTTAGCCTAGTTCTAGTGGTGCTTCATAATCTATGAAGTAGCTGATTAATCTAAATCTGAGTGCTAAGTTTATAAGATATTATTATGGCAATAATCACGTTAACATGGTTTCTTTATCTTTTATTTAAAAAAAACGATACAAGTGCATAAATCGTTGCATTGGTGCCATGCTCTCGTACGAATCTCATAAACATATAGTCGTATGGCAGTTAATAGCAATTTGCGGATTAGCTCGCCTGATTTAACCGCTCAGTTTCCGAAGACAGCCGTCATGCTCGGCAATATCTTTCTCTTTACCGCATCCATATTTTTCATGCTTCCTTCCTCCACGTTTGTACCAAGCACAATGACTGCCATCGATTCCAGAGCGAACTGGTTAAGCGAATCCGCAATCTGATTATTAATAACGTTTCTTTATCTGCTTTTAGAATATTTCATCATTATGTTAACGTCGCATGCACATGATTTACTTTATATCAATATGTATGTAAATCAAACAACTCAAACGCAATTCTGATATTGAAACTTATGTAATATAATGGATTATGAACTTCCTATAGAAATTTCTCATCTACATGAGGTATGTGACAAAGAATAACATGATGTGATTATATGTGTTGTGTTCAGATTATGCCTAATTTTCTTTATAAATATTAGTAAATATGTATTACTCATGAATACAATGCTTTCATTTAATTAATTTCCCAATTGTTTGCTATTCAAGCTTAAATTCTACACTTTAAAGGCATAACAAAACTCATTAATCTCATTAATTAAACTCATTAATTAAATAAAAATAATATACTTTTTTAAATACAAGACAAAAAAATATCTTAGTGTCATATAAAATTTTCAAAATGCTAATAATATTCAGTATTTGAATGTACATATGTAGAACAATTTAATTCATAAACAAGAAAAAGAATTAATAATTCCTTTAATTAATTTTGTAATTTTAATTGAAAATTACGTATATTTTTTAATTAAAAAAGTTTATGTATATAAAATATTATATTTATCATGTTCTTCATAAAATAATTTTTTTTTATTTAAAAAAGCTAATAATAGACTAGAATGAATAATGGTACTCTATGTTACTCTTCTCAATTCATTTAATGGCATATATACTGAAAACAATATATATTATTAATATGCAATTTAATTAATTGAACTATTCAGATGGCAGAATGAATGAAGTAACAATGAAGAGAATTTCTCACTCATTACTACAGCCTAGAAATTTCGAATGTACACATTTTAAATAAAATTTAAATTATCTTCGCTTCAATTCGTTTTATACATTTGTTTGTATCACCAATTTAAAACGTATGATTTTCTCTTGCCTACTTCATCTCTGTACAAGATTTTCAAACTCATCAGTAACTAAGCACAAAATAAATATACAAAGTAATTTCATAGCACGTAGGTTAAAACAAATTTAGAGTATCTCTCTTCTAAATATATAAAATCAACTACAAACTCCCTGTATATGTATTATGTAAAATATCTTGAGTTCGATAAAAATCTTTTATCATTTAGTAGGTATTGAAAATTCTTTTGTACTATTCCTTTTTTAAATTACAATTATCAAAAACCTAAAAGGTAGCCATTTCTTATATATTTATAAGAAATAATACAAACTTCAAAAAATATCTTTTTCAAGCATATAAATTACGCAACAATAGTTACCAAATAGTATTCACTATATAGATATTGTTGCAGATACTTATTATCAAAAATTGTTAACAGTAAGATACTATATAAGCTCATTTATGAAGATTAAACGAGAAGCGTATATAAGCATTTACGCACGCAGGATTGTCTATAACAACATTCAATATTTAACATTTAAGCTCGTTATCTTACAATTTTCTATCATCGATACATGACATTACAATGCAGACGATATGTTGCTCATGCTTTTAAAAAATAGGACAGTTGGAATGTATAGAAAAGTTGGATGATATATTATGTAATACAGACACTCGACAAAAGAAAGAAAGATCGAGGACTTGATACAAAAGAGTTATTAATTTAAAAAATGTCTCCCAGATTATTTGTAATAACTGATATAAAAAGTATTTTTACGGAAACATTAAACGTTACTCTGTCATTTTGTACATTATATAAAACAGCACGTGTGAAGTAACTTGTAGATATAGTGCTGAATTGTGAATATACATGTTCATACAAGCAACAAGACTTCTCATATATTACAAAATAATATCAATGTAAATGCAAAAGCTCGATATCGTTCGATCACATCGTGCAACATCAAATATTACAACAACACAGAATTGTCAACAAAGAAGAAAGCTCATCCGTCCATAGATATATGTACAGTATTATGATTATGCAAGAAGACAGGCAATATTAAAGCTAGGAAATTCGAATTGCTTCATATAAAGAGGCAATTATTAATATCTTCAAATGCCTTCATGCATGTGTTTTGTAAATATGTATTTCCGTTTATGCAGTTGTATAAATCTATTGTTACTAGGGGGCGTTAAATAAATATTTAAATAAATAAATAATAGTCCAAATAGTACATCAAAAAGAATTGCTTCAATATCGTATATTCCACGTGTTCATTTCTTTAAAAAAAAGAAATACTGAACGAATATTGCAAAAGAATTAAAGTCGAAAAATCGAGACGAATGTAATTTGATTGTATAATTTCACCTAGTAGTTTAAATAGATTTTATACATGCTTAACTCCTGCAATATCATGATCGTTTAATAAAAACGATACATGACTGGCAAGAAGGAGTAATGGCATATAGATCGTTTTAATGTATTCGTAACTGTTTGTAATTAAATTAATTATGCAAATGGAAATATAACACTTTCATTTGTACTTTTTATCTATGAATATAGTTTGCTAGCTGGCTTCTTAAATAAGTGTAAACAGCTAGTAGCAAGATAAAACGATCTAAAAATACTTCTTTTACAGCCAAAAAAAAAACTGACTGTAAAAGGAAAAACAACATGTGTACAACCTTTGTGTGCTATTAATAAATTAAGACAGGTTACAATTCAAGGGGTGCATCCCCGTAACTAACCTCCTGTAACAGGTCCTGGGCAGCAATGGCTTTCAATACATTTTTTTTGCTAGTTTCTTGAATCTCCCCACCGACAAGCAACTCGTCTAAGATAAAGTATGCCTTTTCGAAATTGAAAATTATATCCAACTCGCATACCTAATAATATATTGTCATCAATAATAAATTATAATTACAATATATGATTTAACAACAAATTTACAAAACTTGACAAAAATTACGCTTTAATATATCATTTCAAGGGCATAATACTCACACTGCCAAAATACTTATCCAATAGTTCAACGTAACGATGTATAATCTCCAATGTCAGCAATTCATTGTCGTTCTGCTCAATTGCGCAGCAAAAGTACAAGCTTGCATATCTATAAGCATAAATCAAATGTCTTTTTTTATGATTGTAATAAAAGGCATTTTACAATCGCAAATGTAATGTCACAGATTAATGGCAACTTAGATGAAACTCTGAGCTACATTCTTAAAACCTATAGTTTACATAAACTCTATAGTTTACGTCATGCAAACTATAGATTTTAGTTACCCGAGTAAAGTTTTAGAACGCAACTCTGATTAACTCGGTGATTTAATTTGACTCAAGTAAGTATTGCTTAAAACAAAAATTCTAATTGTATAACTCTTCGTTTCTAATCTAATCTTTTCTCCATATCTAAACGACAGATTAATAATTACTTGTTAATTATTTATTATTTATTATTCAACGTTATTTTTTATTCAAGTAGATAAAATTGTGCTTCAATCGAAATTTCTAACTACATAATCTACATAATTTTTTGTCCCTAGTTTGATATATGCTTCCATATGTTACACAACAAAGATGTAACCTTTTTATCCATGTTAACAAAATACATAATACAAATTTTACTCTGTAAGGTAATCGTCGATTAAGTTAATCAGAATTCGGTCGAAAAATGGTGTTTGGGCGGAATCACTCTTAACTGAATACTTCGTTGGTTCGTTAATAAACCGTATACCTTTTGTAAACAACCTTAACGTCCTTCCATTCCAAGAAACTCGACATTTTTGGTTTTCGTGCGAGTATCGTGGTGATCAGTTCGCGCGTGATTTTCTTTTTCAGCTTATCCGGATGCGCGACGTACCACTTCTGCAGGCGAAGCTTGCCTTGGCGGCTGAACAGTAACATAAATTGCATCTGCAAGAAAGACGTGGACGGTGACGGTCAGGGATCGCTCCCGCGTTACGTTCTTTATTGATTTGGAGCATAAAGCGTAAAAGATTCACCATATTGTCGCGATCCTGCTGTCCCTCGTCTCGCACGGTTATTTATCTTTCACAATTAGCACTACGCGTAATTAGATAACGACGACACTCGCACAAATCATGCATAAATCACGGACTCGTAGCTGCCCGGAGCCAGGAACTCCGTCGACTCCGACAATTGTCACGAACTATCACGAGCGTGCCCGACTGAAGGCAGTGACAGGCAGTGAAGGCCACGATCGCCAGACCGCAGACGCCAGTGACGCCACGGCACAAAACGTAATCGTAAGCAGCGAGAGACTTGAAAATCGACCAATCACAGCCATTAAATTAATACTATATTATTGATTGAAATGAATATTATATTATATTATATTATATAATTGCTTAAATTTTAGCAATTATTAAACCAGCCACGCTAATTCCCGTAAGGGTGTCGGTCTTTAATAATTCTCAATATTCTCATCGGTGTTTGATCCCACGTGATCCCCTTACGTCGAATATCACTACCCCCCTCGCCATTGCCCATCCATATATTCCTACGTCAATGGTGGAGTCCCTCTAGGGACTCTTAAATTAAAGATGTAAAATGATGCGTTTGCGCACACGTTCCGATTTGAATTCGACGATGGGTTAGTTAGGGAAAGTTTACGCGGTTTTCTGTCACGATTCTTTAGGTTCAGTCATATTTCTGATGATTTCGTACAATTTTGTGTGACTTTTATTAGCGAATTGAGCAGGATGGTGGAAAGTGAGACAAGAGAAACATGTTTGAAGGCCATAAAGGCCATCAAGTGTAAGCTGAAAACGATATCCATGATAGATGTTTGTGTTTGTATACTCGCTTCCTTTAAATTGAGCAAATTCAAGCTTATGTGTATTTGATGTAGGCTTAATAATATATAATATTTATATTATATGTACAATGCATATGTATATTTCTATTTTATATATTTTGAGTATACATACATCTTTTCACATAATATTATATGTGCCATACAAAACTCAAAATATAACAAACAATTGTCATATGTGGATTAATGCTCAGAGATTCAGAGTTGCTCTTTTCTTTTCTTTTAGTAAAAGGCGCAGCGTTTTCGGAGTTTACCCTATTTCTCACCGTATTACAAGAGCAAGCTGCCACAAGGGGATTAGATGACGATATTCTCAGTCAGCTCGTAGATGTTCTACGTACAGATTTCGGTTGGTATCTTGTTAATGAATATTAAAACATTAGAGCATATTGTAAATTTGTAAGATTATACGATCTTCATGTACACATTCGTGAATTAACTAAATTTTCTCTGTATCTGAATTTATCCGTTAGCTGCAGTCAAACGAGTATCGCTGATAAAATGTCTAATTCCAAGGTACAAACTGTCTGAGGAAATAGTGAAGTCTGTGATCAGCTGGTGCCTTGCTTCATTGGATAAATTGCCATTAACCGTTTGTATAATTGTTATACAATGGATCATAGGTAAATGGATTCTTAATATAAGATCTGCTTGCATTCATTATATAAACGTATTAGATATGTATTATTTACTATATACACTACAAATGCATATATATGCTTGTACATTGAAAATATTTTTAATGTTTAGGTGTATGGGATTACGAATTAGTGGATAGAAAAGTAATCAACATATATTATGATGTCTTTTTCTATGTTATGCTCAAGAAACAGAAACTGGTAATGTATACTTTCTTTCTTATAGATATTTTATATCTAATTCTATCTTCAAAAAGAAAATGTTAAAATATAGCTTGATTTCCTTGTTATTATTGGTAATTTATATATATAATTTATTAATAAATCATTATTAGTAATTTGTAATTTGTAAAAAAATTTCAATAATTTTGAAAGTATTAGAGAAGTTTTTTAACGATATTTTATTATACCTTTATTATTTTTTAAAACTTAATAAATACTGAACGATTGCAATATACATTGTACAAATTAAGCTTTAAATCAATTTAGTAAAGTATTCTGTATCATAAATTTCAGGAACGCCATATAGCACGTCTTATCTACGTACTGACAAGACCAGAAGATGTTTCTCGCAGAGATGTCTCGAGATTGTTGGTACTTCAGAAAAATTACTCAAAACCTCCAACATACATTACTGCATTACTTTCGTAAGTATGATTGTGTATGTGAAATATTTGCTTTGTTAATAAAAAGAATAATTGTTCAACGTGTTGTAGCTTATTTAAATCATATAAGCCAGAATTGGTACCTGAAAAAATACAATCAGTGAATATAGAAAATGTGTGGAAACCTATTCCTGAATTTGTACGATTGGCAATGGAAGATGCCAGAGATCGTGCGGAAATTCAACAATCTCGTCAAAGCATTCGAACTCATTTCGATTGGAACGTAATGCAGGTATAAAAAAAGTATACATTTTATCATATATACGATAGTCCGAATTTAGAAGATAGATTATAAAAATTATTATTTGTTACAGAATATAAAAGTTCAAAAGAGAAATAAGGCGCTTCTACCATCTGTTGGTTATTTTCACATTGGTTCAAGTATTTTTAAAGATAAAGATGCAAAATCGATTTTTGATATAAGTAGGTGAGTAATATCCGAAATAATTTTCATATTTGTCACTTAGATTAATATTAATATATAACATTACATATATCATATTATTTGTACTTGTGTATACCAGTATAGAAGAATTAGGAAAATATCATCAGAATGTTGAATTGCCGTGTAATGCTGTTTCACTTTTGGCAAATATGGTTGGTTACCATCTCCTCACATACGCAGATTTTCAGTACCAAAGTAGATTTTCGTACAATCTTTACAATACGCTTACAAGAGGTACGTGTTTATATTTCGGAAATTCTACTCTCTCCTATTACAGAAGACTATTTAATATAAGCTTTACATACTACAAAGTCAATATGTTAATGTTTTAGCATTTATACTGGAAAATGGAAAGTTTTCTAAGGTGGAAATGGATAAACTTTTAACTATGACGGGCGAATCTTCTCGGTATATGCAGGAAGGAATACTTATAGTTAAACTGTTTTTCGATGAATATTTATATTACAATTCAGGAGAGCACCTGTTGAATTTACTTGATTTATTGCAATGGATGACTTCTATATCAGTAACTGGTAACTAACTATGAAGCTGGCCTTTATATTAAAATATTAAAATATAAAGTTAAAATATCATAGTTTGTATTTTCAGAGTTACGAGAAAATATTCTGATACATGTGCAAAATATGTTTTATGAATCAAGTTTAAATGTGAAGTGTGAAATAATTAAATCTCTGCGAAAACTAATTACGAACTTGGTAAGGATTACTTTTTCATTACAATCTATGTAACCTGTCCATAACGTATCTTATAATGATATTAAACAAAAAAGCATAGGAATTATATACATAAACTTTGATTGTAACAGAAATATACATAGTTTAGTAAAATATAAATTGCATTTATGTCAACAGTTTATTTTTTTTAAATATATGTATATAATCGTTACATTAATGTGACAATTAATTACAGTTTGTAAGACAAGGACTTGAAGAACAGGGTCAATATGCATCATCCTTCTTGCGACAAGGTCCGCTAGAAGATTTAGCAGAAATCATACTTGTGCTTACAATGACATTAGAAAATCTTATTGTTTGTGGATTGAACATACACAATTATAATATTATATTGTTATCAGAGGTTTTAGCATTTTATGAAGAGGTATGTACAAAAATAAACTTATAAATAATGTAGTTGTAATGTTTAACTGGTTAATCTTTATTTACTTGTTTTGTTTTAAAGATCTGTACATTAGAGAGCCGTAGTTATGTATTATCTTGGACATTGCCGCCACCAGCAGTCATCTATGGAGCATTTATTACGAAGAGTTGTGCCATCTTGTCGAGAATTTGTAGATTACTATTAAGGTATTAATGTTATTTAATATTTCATCGACTTTCAAATTAATTTAATTCTTTATTGTTAATACTTGAAATATTACGTACAGATACCGCAAAATGAGTCCACATTTACATCAGATTATGCCATCAAATCTCTATAAAGAAAAAGTTCGCATTATATCTATTTATGCAAATGATATTTATGAAGCATTATGGTATGATGAGGTACGTATGAACGAAAAATAAAAATGCAAATAAACTCCTGTATATGTTATGCACAAATAGGCAGCATTCAAAAAATTATTTTAACAGTCTTTCAGTAACCGACAGAATGGTGAACTTCTGAAAAGTCTTTCAAAAAGAATAATTGACGATTTAGGAGATTGTAATTTGGATACTTTATTGAATATTAGCAATCATTATGCCATATTATCCTATAGATGCACGATAAATAAAATGGGCCTAAAAATAAATACAAAAGAGGTAAGTTAAATTACAATTAATTAAAGTATCTATTTCGAATTTTTAACTTCAAATTTAAACAACTTGTAATTTGTTGTAATATAAACTAATATATCAAGGAAAATTTTTAAATTATATAAATGATTTTTCAGTTTATTTAAAAGTAATTTTGAAAGAAATCAACGGAAATTTGATTTATTTTAGAAATTGTACATATTAGTTTCTAAAACAAATATTTTGATTGAACTTTTTCATGCATACATTTACTCTTGATGTTAATTGTATTAATTATTTTCCAGGATGCCAAGACTATGGCTTTTTATTATTACCCTGCAGTAAGTATATTTCTCGCAGCATTTGATGAATGATATATCTTAAAACTTAAAAAAGAAAAGATATATAATATTTTTTATATGTGCGTACATTTGTCAATAGCAAATTAATTAGCAAAGTAAATGTAAGGGATTAAAGAATAATATTATTGAGAACTTACATATATTTCTTAATATTTATATCTTTTTTATGAATAAAAATTTTTAGAAATATTTTTAACTGAGTATTACATTCATTTACATTAATTTTTAATGTAATTATTTATTTAATCATAATTATATCAAGTCATCAAAGATTTTTATATGGAATAAAACAGTTCAAAATGAATTAAATGATAATATGACTGTTGGAGAGAAAGCAAACGATGAAAAGAATTAAAGTCCTACCTATGAAGATGGAATTCTATATTTAAAGATGACTCGTTGCAAAGTATCGATCAAATCTGCTGTCAAACTACATACTATTAATACCGCCTGTTAGAACATAGTTATAGCTATTAATATACATACATTGTTAGAAGAGACGTGATATCGTATTGCTTGAATCTGAATCAGTCGTGGATATGCTTAACAGAGTTTCTAATATTTTAATAGAAATGATTTATAAATTATCTTCTAATGGTCTTGTAAATAATATTCGACTATTCAGTTGAATAATTATATTAAAAAACATTCATAAATGCTTAATTATTAATATGTTATATTTAATAGCCATAATGTTGTAATATCTACATTAATTACTAGTTTTTGATAATGCACCATATTTTTCGGAAATAACGAAAACTAATTTTCTGGTTATCTTTAACACTCGGTGTCACAAAAGTTCAATAAGTGAAATGTGTATTTTTTTTCATATACGATCCAATTATGGTTGCGTTTTTATTTCCAATATATGATATAAAGATATTAGAGTCCGAATGATTGATAAGTGATAACAATAGAAATCATCTTACTTTCTATTGCTGTCTAGTTCAGCATTAACGACCAAATAGTGCACTGCGTTGAAACATTTACCAGAGATTGTAATACATAAAAAAAAGATAGTGTACATATAATGAAATGTGTATAAAAAATTATGTAAAGAGAACTTAATAAATAAGATTGTATAAATATCACAAAATATCTAAATATTAATATAATTATATTATTTTTATTATTATTGAATATAAAAAATAAGATATAATTAAAGAAACGAATGCGCCTTTTTTATAAATATCACAAAGAAATTCTTGATTTTTTAAAACTGAAATTCGAGGAAAAATTTCATTTCTTAAATTAATTTCTTAAATTCATAAATGTTATATATATAGATAAGGCCACACACGTACGCCGATATGCTATATTTTATTAGATATCAATATAAAAGTTAAATGCAAAAAAAAGGAAACGTTTCTATAATAATGACGGAAATTAAATATATGATAGAATTTATTTTTGTCATTACACTTCGACAATGTCTTATCATTCAACTTTTCTCATTCGCTTAAACTTTAACTCTTATGATTAATAACGCAAAGAATAGCATTTATTTCCAATAATGTAAACAAAATGTGCTAAGTTGTGTCACGTACTCATTAGTGGATTTAGTCTTACACTTTCTGATTCAATACACTAAGGGCAGTGACTTCAGCTTAAATCGTAAAAAATTTGTTCAGTGTAAAAACAATATATACATTATGAAAATTATGAAACTCCGCTTCAACTAATTTTAACGAATAATGTATGTCATATGGCACGAACAGATTAATCATTTAATAAAATATCGGCCATACCTTATCGTATTTTCTTGTACTTAATGTAATGATAAGATATTCATATGATATTCACATATTAATTTTTCTATTAATTTTTCCTATTAATTAACGATTTACGCAAATCTTTAATAATTTTTCTATATATTCTCATGTACCAATATATTGCTTTTCTTCAGCTAATCACAAAACAAAAAGGTTAAATTTCGTATATACGTGAATAATTGCGAAGTATAAGAAAGACAACGTATTTTATATTATACCCTCAGTGTAATGTTTTGCACAATATCCGATATACATCTTTACATAAAAAACCCAGTTCTAAAAATACAATTAATTAGATTTGCAAAGTCGTGTAAAAATATTTCTTTTCATGAAAATATTTTATGAATGGACAAAATAAACATCGTCGTAGGCTGTTCAGATGATACTCCAAGTTTTTTCAGAAAATTAATGCTTATGAAAATGACATGATTCAAATGCGCTTAATATCATAAGGATACTGCAAGTGATAAATAAATACTTTCAATGTGTATGTATTAATGTGTATGTGATGACTAATACAAAAAAAACAAAACTAACACTATAACAGGTCCTATCGCATTATTTATGTCTTTGTTGCAGATTCTAGAATATGCAATTCCAGTCAGTTATATATATGTATATATAAGTCGAAAATAAATATCTCAGTGAACACAATACATTCGTTTCGTACGTTTAAACTTGTGATTTTAAGAAGTACTTTTCGTAAAACACCGACGCAATGAATTAAAATTGCTATACAAATAATAGTTTGTCACAGTTCTAAATTAATGTCACGATTCTGGCTTTATGATTATATTTACGTAATTAAAATAAACTCTATTGTAATACGTGAATCCGAATTCATGAATACTGCAAACCAGACTACATCCTTTTATGTAATAATAGATATTTTAAAACCAAATTTAACATTTAACGTTTACATCCACAAAAAAAACAGCCCGTATTCGCCCAAACAATGCAAATAATCTTGTCTATTTCGTAAAATTTTGATATGTTTAAAACTAAAAAGAATACTAAATTTTGTTATAATACGTATAACAAAATATTGAAACGAAAGGATTTAGTTCACTTTTGATTGATTATATAAAAAATGAATGCATATTTATTTAATTTTCTTACTCATCGTACGCTTATGCTATTAGTATAATTTTCTATGTAGATTTACTATAGTATTTAACAAATGTAGCCGTATTTACATGTGTGTTTATAGTAGTTAAACAATTCCTACAAATATCTCGTATAGAAAATTTTGTGAATATAAACATATAAAATAATATTTGTACACTTAAGACATACCAAGAGATATTGAATGTAGGAATATAATAATAAACTATAGGATACATAACTCTTTTCAGTAAGAGAAGTTATTTGAGCGAGAACGAGCTGCTGGCAGTACGGATTTATATTAGTTGGTATGCATTTTGTAGAACAGAATCCAAATTACAAAATAAAATATTTTGATCTCGATGAAAAAAAATACTTTCTATAAAATATTTAGGAAACTAAAATATTTTCGGACACGTTTCAATCGATTATGAGAACTGTAAAAGCTAATCGTTACAACGGATAAAGTCGTGTGTACATAATCTTGATCACTTTGTCTTAAATTTTGAACATCTATCTTTGGCACAATATGTTAATTAAGCAAAACTATCAATTATCATTAAATTGAAAATAATAAAAATAAATGGAAACGTAAAAGTACAGGCTACAATTCACAATATGCATAAATATATGCATGTACGTATACACATATGTGAACAATGTGCACTTTTTTTTTATAAACCTGTACTAATCCAAAGAAGCACGTTATATAAGTTTTGCCTAATGATAAATAAACTTCAAAAAAATTAATCATTTCTCTTCTATAATTATAAATGTGTGTTCTACGCATATTTATACATACATACGCATACATGCTCGTGTATGTGTATATACATACATGTAGATGTTGACGATAGCATCTACTTATGCGAAGTTATATTAATATAAGTATATAAATACAAATATAAATATATATGTATTCTCATATTTACATTTGCAATGCACGTAGTGCATTACACATTACACATATATCTATTTTGTATTTATAATGCGATATTGCTAACAAAAGTAACTATTTAGGATATCATTTTTTCAAGATGATCAGTTCATTTGATGTGTACTTGATAATGATGCCCCTGTGTATGTCTGTATACATAAGTGCATTTATGTATCTATTTTTTTTATCCCTAACATTCACACATTTGTCGATGCACTATAGTGGAAACGAATTTACGCTTCACTTCACTTTTAGCAATAACACTTTTGTACATAGAGCAGTACGCATCTATTATATTGAAAGAACGAGATATAGACAACAGTTTCACATTTAACAGTAGAGCGATAAAATAAAACAGATCAGTTCGAACTGCCATCACTTCCCACTTCGTCAAGTGGATCTTCTGCGTCGGAGATCATACTTTCATATGAGAAATCGGGCTCATCTTCTAGGAACTCATCCCGTTTTCTTTTCAAGCCTAATTTGCGTTTCTTCGTTGACAACGCAAGTTCGTCCTCAGGCGATCGTTCCTTGCGGAACTCGTAGACTAGTGGATAAATATGTTCAATTGCTGCTTGGACTGAAGCAACGTTAGGTGCTGTAACATAATACACAACCATTATACAGTTATATGATACTTATGTGCGTTAATTTATTCGTTAAACAAGAACATAAAAATATATCTTAATATTTGTAATTTAAAAACAAAAATTTTTAATGTTTAACTTTTCATAATATATTCAATGTTTTTTTTCGATTTAATTAAGACTTTCAATATTACATTATAAAATCAAAACTTAAGATATGTTATGTAAATATTTATTAGCAAAGAAAATTGATTTATTTCGATACAATAAAAAAAATTCGTATTTTCTGTGTATTTCTAATATGATTTTATATGATCAAGGAGATACACAGAGATAAAATTTTAAATAAAAATTTAATAAAATAAAGCTTCAAAATATATAATGTTTAAAATAATAAAATAATGTATCAAAACAGAACAAATGTTTCTATAATAAAACATATAATTAATACCAACCTGTTACAGTAACACTTCCTGTAGAAAATATCTTCAGAGTAGCTTTTGGTTCTTTTAGCTTATATGTAACACCAGGGTGTAATTCAGGTTCATAACTGTAAATCACAAAAAATATTTATATAATTATCATTCATTCATATATTTATATATCATTATTAACTAACGCATTAATAATGTTAATTTTTTAAATTTATTATATTAAATGAGAAAAATACTCTAAATATTGGTAAGTTAATTGAAGTTTTTTTTTTAAATTGAAATAATATTCATAGTATTCATTATAATTGTTTATTTTCATATACTTACTCAGCGTGTTCTTTATGATGCACCGAAAATGATGTTATTTTGATAGCAAATGGCATACAACAAGTGCCTAATACATTGACCACCCTATAATTATTGAATTTCACTTTGAATCCTAGTTTTTCAAGACAGCGGGCAAATCTGCGTGCAGCAGTTTTTGCTTCATCTTCACTGGTTGCACCAGTGCACGTTACTTTACCAGATGACCAGATAGATGCTGTCGTGTATGGTTTCCTTAATTTCATCGTTATCATCTAAAAATATCATAAATAAACGTTTACATTTTAAATTATATATATATATACATTCATTAAATGTATACTTATAAAGTTAAAAATAATTATAAAAAAGCCTATTATCGTGCAATCAAAAATTTTTATTTACAAACTAAAATTATAGTACTGCAAACAATAATAAACAATAATAATAGAGTACGCAAATTTACAGATTTTCTCTTATCATGATCTATAATTAATCATATTTCAAACTTAAAAAAATTATTGTTCTGAAAAATTTTTATTGCTTTGTTCTTCAATTTTTAATAATAATCTTTAATATTTTTTATTATAGAAAATCAATGAGAAATGCTTATATATGAATATACATCACGTATCAAAGATTTATTACAACTGTTGTAATTTAATATGTATAAGAGTGCTGAGTCTAGAAAAAATGTTTCAAGAAACAGACGTCGATTTCTAAGAAGTACCAGAGCAATCAAATAATCATTTTTCAAAAGAGACAATGCAATGTTATCTTTTATTTAGAGACCAATTTTTCTAATATAAAATAAAATATGTGACTCAAAATAAATTCTGTAAAATAAAGATAAATTAGATTTAAAATCCAATAATGTAAACTATTTTTTAAAATTTAATTTTTTCTTTCTAGATATTGGCTTTTAACTACATAGCAATAATTTTTTTTTATGTATTGGAGTAGCTTATTACTAGAGTAATTATCAAGCAAAATATATGAATTTGATTCTCAAAGTTTTACCACTTCATGTCTATTATAATACTGTGAATTTTGAGTGGAAAAATATTTTGCTGTGATAAAAAGCAAAGTACTCGAAACTTTAATCCCAAAGTAATTAACACAGATAACAATATTGTTTTGTTTTGGAAACAGAAACTTTCAAACAATAACAATAAATATGATAAATTAATTTAATGTTTCATAGCGAAGATTAGGCTTACAATGCTATTTGATAAAAATTGTAACAAACTACTAAAAAAATAAAGAGCTACATAAGACTAACGCTTGGAAGCTTTGATTTATCGAATTACGATGTAATAGAAAAGGAAGAATAATTATTTCCTATTGAGAATGCAAGTATAAAAATTATCAACACATACCCCATTTTCTCTTCTGTATTCAACATTCGATCCATGGAGCGCTATTTCTCGTAAGTTCAAGTGACACCTTACACTAAAGCTGCAAACTACATTGTTAATAACAATATCAAGCTCTGGAGGTTCTTCGTGGGGCTCTTCGTGAGGTTGTTTATTAGTCTCTTCTTGAGGTACTTCGGCATGATCCACGTAAGGTTGAAGTTGATCATCAAACAATCTATTGTCTTTTCCTTCCGTACAGGAGTTTGCATTGTCTAAATTATTAACATCCTTCACATGATTCAGTGATTTATTTGTTAACGGTTTCATGCCATTCTCCTGTAGTTGCATAGCAGTTGCCATAATATTGTTTCCCTGCAACACATAATTAAATTAAAATTACATAATTTTTATACTTATATTGTGCTCATTCAAATTTTCTCAGATTTTAATACATGAAATATTTTTAGATGTAATGTTTCAATTATTATTTAATATATTTAAAGCAAGAAAAATTTCCTTTTATTACAATAATTTTTACAATTAAACGGTGACATAAAATGTAATAAATAACTTTTATTTATACATAATAATTATTTATACATAATAATGGCTAATGTACAATTTTACATTTTTATTAAAAAAAATCATCAATTAAAAATTAAACATTTTATAATGTACATGTTAAATGTTAAAATTATTATATGTAAAATGTTAAAATTATTTAAAATAAATTCAAAAATAATTACAAAGGCTACAAGAATAAATTAAATATTATCAAATACGAATAAAATGCCTACATAAGCTGCTGCAGTTTTAGATGCATAAATCAATACATTTTACAATGAGTAAAAAATGTACCTGTTTAACAATTTCATACACAATGCAAATTGAATTTCAGTTTGTAAAATGTTGTATTGATTCAAGCAGCGGCTCATGTAGGCATTTTATTCGACATATTTGATTTAAAATTATTTTTAATATTAAGTCACTATATTTTATAATCTTAATAATCTAAATTTTAATCTTTGGATATGTTAACAAGTTAACAAATCAAATTTTTATTAAAATATATACAACACACGTCTTACTTATGTATCTATGAAAAATTAAATATGTAATAAAGCTCTACTATTAATTTATATCTCTAGAATTTAATTTGCATGAAGTAATATCTGTTTTTAATACTGCACAATTCATACAAAATATTCAATTCCCTCAATATTCAAATAATTTATACAAAAACTGTGACATTTTATTTTCTTAAATTATTCTAAAATATTCTAGAGATAGAAAATATTCTTTACATAAATAAAGTATACATTATGAAAATATATATAATTGTAGAAATAAAATGGCTAATCATCAGCTATTTCTAGCAACTTTTAATAATAGTAACTGCTAACTTATTTATCAAACTATAGATTTCTCTCTAGCAAAAGTGCAGAATATGATTCAAATGGTGCTTGAAGAAGATACAGCAATAACAGAGTCCACATTTAATGATAGTTGCCAATAATGTAACGATCTAATTCATATGAGACTCGTGCCAAGATTTATGCAAAATGTAGTATAAATTATACGTGGACTGAAATGAATTGTTTGACTTTAATCGTCGCACAAGTAACGTTCGTTTACGATCCCTTCGTACGCGGAAACTCGACTGGCAAGTAACGGAACGCGGTGTGAACGATCGGTTGAAATCGGCAGAATCATCCGCTCGGCAAGATAGCGGTCGGGCGATATTCGCGGTTTGTACTCGACGGACCGACATCGAGGCAAGACGTGTGTGCGACCGTGGCAACCGACCGATCCTCGACGAGGCAGGAATCGCGCGGATCGCGAGGGAGAGGACCGAGCGGATGCTGGGGGGGACGTTACGATGCGCGCTCGTGCTGCATCCGCACGTGGGAAGAGGGGCCCCCTCGTTCGCGCATCGCGAGACGGGAACAACACACACGAGGTCACGGCTCGACGTCGAGGCGCCGACGTCGGCGAGCATCGCGTTGAAATGCCCAGCGAGAATCGACGAGCGGCGCCGGGAAAGAGGCACGAACCGTCTCGCGGGGCACCCTCCGAGAACGTACCGCGAGCGAGACACTCGCCGAGAGGGTGCTCACCGAGTACTCGCGGGCGGACGAAGGTACCCGAGCGGGCGGACGGACAACTTACGGATTCCGCTATGCCAGGCGACCGTAATTCGTCGCGCGCAGATCAAGGGTAACGTCTTTGTTGACAAGTGCCAGCGGAACGCAGAGTTAGCTTAACAACTATTGCCATTGTTCTCAGCCATATTCGCTAGACTGACGACTACTGGCGACCCAAGCGGCCAACTGACGATCGCGGGACCTCGCGATACAAAGATAGCCAAGTCGCAACTGCGAATCAAATCGTGAATGTAAGTATGTTCGAATAACATTTGGCGCTTGATTCCCATTAAAGGTCGTTTTCATAAAACGCCTGGGAAAAACTGATAACGAATTCGGCAGCTTGCACTAGTGCGCACTGAGTGCAAACTTTTTCAGTGCCGCACATTCGATCAATGCCCTCTGCCCTAGAGTCCTAGATTATCAGAGAAGCGCGACCGGTGTTACGAGTCCTGATTGGACTCGCAAATGGCCAATCATAAGATTGATTTATCGCTATTATAAATGGCTGCCGAATAAATCAATCTTATGATTGGCCATTCGACGCCATTTTTAATATTTTCTAGTACTTTTGCGATACTGCCATAAGCCGGTCGCGCTTCTCTGATAATCTAGGACTCTAAAGGCGGCTAGATCAATGAGGGCGAATTCACAGAACTCGCACTGGTAGCAAGACAAGCAGAAAGCAAAAACTATTAACTACCAACGCGAGTTGTGATTGGCTTCTGCTTTTCTGTTTTCCGCTTTTCTGTCAAGGTGTGAATTCGCCCTGAGAATCTTGTGTAAAAGCGGGAGCACAGACTTTTGCATAACGCTGCATACATAAGAAAATCAACCAATCAGATTATGAAATGAAGGACTCTGATTGGTTGATTTTTTTATGCATTATGTTTTGTGCGTTATGCAAAAGTCTGTGTTCCCGGCTTAAATCAGTATGACGATTTTATGCTGGCTGCTCATTGGTCTAGCCCATGGATCTAAGAATCTATGGATGGAGCGCAAGGCAATTCGGTTGTTTAATCTGCAGTAAGGGGGGTGTAGTGCTGTCTCTTTCTCGGATAGGACCCCATCGAGTGTTTTCGTTGTATACCCGATGATTCCTGAAAGATTAGATATTTGCTAACTTTAAAGTACGGATGTGTGTGTGTGCGCACGTGTGTAAAAATTGGTACAAAACTTCTTAAAAAATTACAAAATGCTGAAAACGCGACGCTCAAAACCTCGAAATGCTCTTTTTAGCGTTTTCGAGTATCTTCGGATCGTTCGGACGTCTTCGGTTAATTTCGTTACCAAGTCGATGGGGTCTTCTTGTAGAAAGAGACGACAAGCGGATAAAAGAGGAGAGCGCTCTCATTCCCCTTACCGCAAATTTGGCAAACCCCTTGTCAATGAATTCACTCTACGCTGCATCCATTGATTCTTAGATCCATGGTCTAGCCAGAAATAGCCCCGGAACGTAATTGTTTTAATGAGCGCAAGAAATTAAACACTCTTATTATTAATTATCGAAGACGTTCGCAAGCCTCGACACGTGGTCGTTTAAATGAGCGCGAGAAATATAACAATCTTATTTTTAATACCAAAGACGTATGTACGCAATCGCCGGCACATGGTCGTTTAAGAGGATGCTGAAAGATCGGGAATTACCGACATTTGCATTCTAATGGATAACACCGAAACGATTAATTTAAAAACGCTTTTACAGGATTGAAATAGACATAAAATGTCACCGCGCTAGGTATATATGAATAGTAAAAACGAAAAAATATCCAAAAATTACTTTTTTTGGGGTATCATAACCTATTTTAATTTATCATAACCTATATTATCTTTTGCGCGCATCGGATTACTTGCACGAATAATACAAGATCTTTTGAGCTACGATTAGAAGCATAGAAAAAAAGTTGTTCATTAGAATACAATTTGTGGTAATTCGTACTTGGCTAAAGTAAAGACAGCAAAAATTGCGTCTGGTAGTAAGTGCCGGATTTTCCAAGAGATGGCACTTCAATAAGTTAAATAAAGACATTTCACGTGTTTGAGTGAGACCAGAAGATATTGTAAGAAGTTCATTTAGAGATACCACTGATGCAGACACTGAAGAGTCTGCTTTATCGACCTTGTACAAATTTGGCCGACCTTTCAGCATCCTCTTAAATGGACGTGAGAAATTTTATTTTTAATTATCAAAAACTTTCACGAGACCCGGCACGAGATCGCTTAAATAGGCGCGAGAAATTTAACAATCTTGTTTTTAATTATCAAAAACGTTCGCGAGCCCCGAAACATGGTCGTTTAAGACCTACATTGTTTCTGACGACGAATTTTACCGACGGTGGATTTTTATCGACGCACTGGATGGAATCGCGCTTCGCGGAAAATCCGTCGTGTGGCGCACATCGCGCAGTCGCCATCTTAGAGTCGCGTTGTTTTGAAGCAGCTCCGGCCCGGTCCGCGCTGCTCGCGTTTCACCGACCTTTTCGCATCGAAAAATCATGTCGCGCTTGTAGCAAGAGTACATCCCGAGAAGGTATCCACATAAAGTATCGACGTAAAGTATAATTTAGATTGTAAGATGCTAGATGAACTGTTCCTCGACGAGCAATTCTCGACGCGGCATAGCGACGAAGATCATGAGTGCGAGGATGTCGCCGCGTCGTTCCGTGTCAGCTCTTTGATTTAGAAATTTAAATTTGCGCTTGAAGCGGAATGCCGATAGCAGCGAGTTGGAGAGGCAGCGAGAAGTTCAATGTACAAGTGCGCATAGCAAATTGTTTTTTTTTAATAATTTTTAGATTTTACGCGTGCATAAATGGCCCTTCGCGCCGCATCGAGCTCGCGAGGCATCGCGCGTCGGCGTAAGTTAGCTGCCGCGTCGCTGTACGATTTTTCCGCTCGTACAAAAATTTGCAGCACGACGACACGTTTTCGGAAATATCTCAAATTTAGTGTTGAAGAATAGAACATATAAACGCGGGATGGCTGTTTTCGCGAGGAGAATCGATTTTGGTGTGTGAATCTTCCGTCGCGCGATGGCTCGGGCATCGGTGCGAAGTTGCCGTTTGCGTTCGCTACGTTCTCGTTCGTTATTTGCAAGTGTATCGCGCAATACACGCGAGAGAAATATATCGGGAATGTTGAATTCAGTATCGATCGATCGATCGCACTACAAGGATGTAATTGAGGATTTTTGCGATCGCAGGATCGCCGTAAGCCAGACATTAGCAGCAAATCATCCCCGTTGGAGACTTACGAGAGGATAAGCGGAAGGATCATCTCGTTATCCCTATCGTTCCCGAAAGATATCGTGGCGATGAGAGGGAATTGCTGGACAAGGTATTGCCTGGACATGGTATTGGCTGAACGATCATTGCGACGCTAAGGTAAGTGATAGCGTTCGGAGTTTCTCTACGATATTTTTTAATTTTTATGCGCTCCAGTTCGCCCAGGATCAAGTTAAAAATGATCCATTTTGCCATCTAGAAGAAAATGATATCTTCCTAAAAAAACATATAGAAAGAAAACGCAGATTGATATTTATTGTACATGAAATTTTTTTGTATTAAATTCTTACAGTCAGCAAAAATACCTTATGTAAATTTTGTTTTATTATAAAAATTTTTAATTTAACTATTACTCGAAAATACTACAAAATAATACTCAATATAAAATAACTATGACGAACGATAGCTTTCGGTATTCGTTACAAAAAATTTATCAAATTTAACAAAGAATATTCTGTTCTATATGTTGTTCTATTTATTACTGTTCGATTGTGAACCACCCCGTGTAATGTATACCGCGCACACTTTATTATTCTTCTCCGCGTTACAAAGTATTTTACAATTTATTCTAAGCAAGACTTAACAAAGAATTGTCATTATATTTATACAGAGTGTATTTTTATTTATAACATTATTTTATTAAGAATACTCCTATTAAGAATAAAATTGTCAATATTTTTTATTATGGTATATGAAATATGTCCATAAAAATTCTAAAATTAGAAACATTAGAGTCCTAATTTTACTAATTTTCTATGTATTAATTTAAAATGTCTAACAAATATTGACATAATTAGTAAAAACATTATTAATATCTTATACAATATACTAAAAAAAGTTAAGCAATAAAACTCTGTATAAATATAATGACTAATCAAGAATCAAATTAGTTGTTTTGATGTAACAAAGAGGATACGGAATTGTATAACATCTAAGATTAAAAACAAAGTCTTAACCGTGATGCCGTTCATATACGATTTTGCCGAGATCTGAGATCTACCACACATTACATTTCTTCACGCGGTTCATTCTGGAGCCGATCGGGCAATTAAAATTACGCGAAAACCCCTTCATGTTTGATAGTGATCCACGAATGCGAAATTCGGATGGGCTATGGGAAGACGTTGTAATCTGTAGTTTCAGTGCTTCCGGCCGATCCTTGTTACGCCAACAATTGGCCGTCATGCTTACCCAGAACATCTGTTCTGGATATACGGCAACCCCGGCTTGTTTTGTTTAATCAATTCTTTGTACGCGTAATAGGCTGCCCTTATGCCGCTATTGTCCGCGATGTTCTCACCCTGTGGGTGTTTATCCCGTTTAACTGTAACAATATAACATATATTAATACGATAAAGTTTCAATCTAAAAAAATGTTTTTATATTATAATAATATAGTTAAAAAATATTTCAAAAAGCTTTTAAAAGGCCTAGCCAATAAGTCTTACGAAGTCTAACTCATATGGCTACTGCAGTTTTTTTCATATTTTATCGATATAATTATCTACTCATTATCAGATAGTACACAGAGTAAAAAAAATTTAGTCGTATATTAATTTAGTTATATGCCATCAATTTTAAGTTTATTTTTAGGTGCAAAGAATTCTTTTTCAGAATTGATAGAAAATGAAATCTTTTGCATCTAAAAATGAATTCAAAAATGATAATATACGATTGAATATATATATGAATAAATTTTTTTAAATCTCTGTGCTTTTTGGGATATTAATATGTGCTTTAACGGAATTGTTTCTAGTTACAATACTGTTTTCGATTAAATCGTACATCGCACTGACGATCATAGTCGACATTTTATGACTTATCCATTGTGTCTTATTCACTGGCAGTTTCAGTCTACTAAATAAGAAATTTCTATCAAAGGTAGACCCATTGAAAGGGCCCAAGAATGTTCCCTATATAATCGTCAGCGCTCAATTCAAGATTCTCATAAAATTTCGCTTGCAAATTTGAATTCCATGCATTAAACTATTAAAGATTATAAAAAACTACTCTTCTTTTCCAAAATGCAAATTTTTGTACTTTTCAAGATACAAGCAAATAAGTATAAAACAAAGATTATAAATCTTGTAATCAGTCGTAAATAATAAATGGTAAGAAGATAGAAATGGACTATTTTCTGTTGAAATACCGACATCGGCGATTTATTATAATTTTTTATGATATGCGACAGCAAAAAATAATTAATGTATAAAGCACTACTTAAAACAATTAATGAAGTAATGATACATAAGAATATTTGTCTTTTATAGTGCAAGTAATTATGAAGTTTATATGTATATACAATTTTTATGTGTATATACAATTAAAATTGTTAAAATTCTTGTTTCTGGCCTTTCAGTAACATATTTTAAGGTTTTAAAATTTTTTAATATGAAATATGTAAATACATATTTAAAAAAACTAACAAAATTATGACGGTAATATTAACTGATTTTTTGTGTTATAAATATTTATTTAAAAAAAACATTTTAATATTTATGTTTATAATTGGACAATTTATTGGAAAACCAGACATATAATACAATATAATACAATATAATAAAAGTTGTATAAATTATTATAAACTGGAGAAGGAAAATATTCTCAGTAATATTTAATGTTTGGCTGATACCCTGAGTTCGTTAAATCCTTTATCATAGTTTCTACAATCTCAGAAGAAATAGATTTGGATGATGCACGAGATAGCCCTACGTCAATGTCAGTAAGAAGAGCCATTGCTATTTTCATAGCCTGCACCCGATTACCTATAAATAATCAATTTTGAGTAATAATGCCTTGTCAGACGCAGAAATGATACTTACTATGTTTCATTATAGCAATTACAGCACTTGAAAGCTTTTCTTGCATATCTTTAGCTTTTAACATATCTCCATTTTTGCAAACAGCAAGGAGATCTAATACAAGTTCCGGAAACACATTTATGCTGCTTAATATGAAGGAATCTATTCCCAATGTATATGCGGCGTTTATTAACTATAGAGAATCAGATCAGATTGAATTTTCATTACATTGAAATAAAACGTATAAACTTATGTAAAAATAAACCAGAATATAGATAGTAACTACATAGTCAGTATAGAGTATAGAGTATAGAGAAAACAGTCTAAGAGCCAATCTTATCACCTCTGATTAGCTTGATTGGTTGATTACATTTAAAAACTGCCAATGGCAAAATTTAAAATTAATTGTCTCCAATCTAATTTCTTAATCATTTTAATTAAACGTATTACTTAATTATTAAGTAAAAATATTATATGTACATAAATAAATTTAATTATAAATATATTTATATATTCATATAAATAAATTATAATATGCGTCAAATAAGGAAAACATAAATAATAAATTGGTCTCCAGTTTTGCAGTTGGTTTTTTTTAAATGTAATCGATCGATTGAGCTAATCGAAGATGGTAAGACCAGTCCTAAGTCGGATATCAGATATCCATAGTTGACTGATCAATTACTATTTCTGGTTTATTAGAAAATAAAATAAACTCATGAAAAAGTAGAAATTCATGAAACGCTGATTACAAACCTTACGATTTACCTTAGCTTTTTATTTTATTACCTGATTATTGCCAAGAAAAATAGTATATTTTCCGTTATCGGCACGTAGGGCTTGCGCTCCCTCCTCCAAGTTAGCGCTCGTAAATTTTATACCCACAAATGAAGGTATTTTGTCACCAATTGATTCAAGGAATTGTCCCATGTGTACTACAAATTGTTTATGAATGATATTTAAGATTCAACACGTATATATATGTAAATGTGTATATAATTAAATATCAATCTCATCAATAATATCAATTGATGAGATTGATATTTAATTATTGTATACACTGATTTTATATCTAGACTGCGTTCGGTTTGTCACTTACAGTGCTTGTAAGCATCATTTATCCTTGTTTAACATTTGATACACAACAAGGATGATGCTGTGAGCGCTGTAAGCGTCAAAACTGCGAACGCAGCCCTAGTATGTTAAAATTATTAGAGGCCGCTTACTGTTAACATTAGTCATCACAGGAATATGGTAGTATAACAATGGTGTGTTTGGCGCTGCCTTGCCAATTATTTCCAAGTATTCAATCAGTTGTTTAGGAGTAGTAGGCTTGAAGTATAATTCTGGTAAGCAGAGTATAGAATCCACGCGTAGACCACTTGCGTGTTTTGCCTATGAATTATTTCCATTTTATTTTTTTATTCGCAGAAAGTGAAATAAATTTTACTCTTTGTGTATTATGTTAGTAATTACACCTACAAGTTCGATAACATCGGGAAGAGGTGCGCCTCCTACTTGAACCATCAAGTGTTGCTTTGTTTCTTTTACTGCTTCTATCCAGGTTTCGGCAACAAGTTTCCTTTCGGCAACAGACATTGACATTCCTTCACCATTTGTACCGTTAACTATAAAAAAAATGATATGACAGATGTGCAAGAAATTGCTATTTCAATTTAAAATAATTATTATATACTTTTTTTAAAATAATTTTTATGCCAAGATTTTTTAGCAGGAATTTTCCATGTTAAATATTATTAAAATAATTATAAATTATAATCGATATTGGAGCTAACTTACCAAGTATACCTTTGATTCCTTTTTTTGCTAGATATGTTGCATATTTTGGTATTACATCCAAATTAAGTGATCTATTAAGTAAATGGCAGTCATTATCATATTTAGTTCAAATTTATTTCAATTTAATTTTATTTGTTATTAAAGTTTATAAATACAAGTTAATTACCCATTATTACTGAAAGGAGTTAATACAGGAACAATGAGACCTCTGTAGGTGTACGACAATCGCTGCAATTATAAAATTAATTATCTACAATATTATAAAAAATTATACTTTATTTTATTTCTTATTTTTATTTATTTTAGCGATATATCATAAATATGTATAGAAATTATAATCTATTTTTGAGAATATTAATTTGCTTTGTACTTATTTGTTTTGTTCTGTATTTATTATAAATACAAATGTAGATTTCCAATTGTTTTGGATTCTAAAGAAATTGGACATTACGGCTTTTTAGATAAATTCCTATTTTTGATAAATATTTTTAACAAAAAATGAATATTTAACAAAGAAAACGCAATAAAATTTTTAAATTTTAATTTCTTAATTTTGAAAATTTAAATTTTCTCTTTATTTCTGTATTTTACTCTTTATAAGAAGGAAAGCTTTGAAACAAATTACAGTGGATCACTCTATTCTGAAACTGTCGAGATAAATTATTTATCTATTTTGGAATCTTTCGACAATTGATTTGCAATATATGAAAAAGTTTCTTTGTGGACATAACAATGTAGTTTTTATTCTAGAAAGGAAATACGAATTTTGGAATATTTTCCTAGAAACTTTTTTATGTAACTAAATACATTTAGTATATTATTATTTAATTAAAATTTTTAATGAATTATATATACTTATATATAAACATACTATTACGTTATATATCATTATTTTTTATTATATATATAACACAATATATAATAAGTTAGAATTAATTGTATATATTAAAAATTTTCTTTTATTTTTTTGTAATTGTTATCGTTTTCAATAGGGACTGATATTTTAATATATTGCGATTTTGAACATTCCGGAATATTTCGGACATAGCATGACTAGTGGCTTTAACTCAAAATTTCACGTGATGACAGCAGCGCGATCAATAACAAGTGTGACATATAGCTCAATAATTCCCTGTTCGACCATATTTTTTTTACTTTGTATAATTATACACGCGATGATAAGAGATCGAAGATTATATTTGTTTAAATATTTGTTTGATTGTATGACTATATTTATGCAATGAATATCATACTTGTCATATACTTACGGACATTGTGCTGTAAGCGCAATGGTAACGTAAAATCTTACGAGAGTGATGCAAAACGAACTAAACAGCGACCAGTAACTACGTAAATGTATACTTTCTCGAGTGCTGATAAGATAGATTGTCGTTTTGTTTGCAAAACGATAACATGCATATGCCAATGATAGAAATTCTGTTATATATATAAAAATCAAATAATTGACAATGTTTATAATACAAAATAAGCAATACAAGAATTTATGAAGATGTAGATTCTGATAACGGTATATAATTAGCCGTAACACAATAACAATTTCATTTTTAATTTTTAAATTGAGTAATGTTTTAGATTTTAATTAATTCTGTTTCTTTTATAAAATGTGTGATTAGAGCGCCTTATCAGAGAAAACATATGTCTGATTGTTATATCAGATAAATATTATCTAGTAAGACGTTAATCGTATATTTTATTAAAAAATTGTACTAACTGAAATCTAAAAATTTATTAAAATTAAAAGTACTTCAGAAACAGATCAGATTATAATTATATCGTTACACAAAGTCGCGTAATTTAAAAAATGTATTAAATTTGACTAATTAATTTAAAATACAAATTTTCCTTGTTATTCGATTATTTTAAAATTATGTAAAAATATCTCTCTTATATTTAAATTTGAATACGTGAGGAAGGGTGGAGGGAAAAATTTCTTGCTTAAAATGACACTGGCTAGAATTATTTATAAAAATGCTCTTTATGCTTATATATTTACATGTAGATTCTTTTTCTCAACAATGTCAATAGTATTAATATTTATTGTAATGATAAATTCGCTATAAGTTTCCAAGATGGTCGCATGCTTTTTTTTTCTTTTATTTAACGGGTATTACATGCTTCTCTTTGTTCTTCGAAATGAGAACGGAGGCTACTCGAGTGTTTACATAATAACGCCAAGAGAATTCTATTAATGTTAGCGGCTACTCATATAATGCTCGTCCTTTTTTTTTATTTCGTAATAATTGTCATTTAAATGTGACGAAATGCTACGGCATATTGTATGGCGTACTAGGAAAGAAGTTTTCTGCTTTAGCGGTAACATCTTTTTTTTTTACGTTTTGTCTTACAAATCTTTCATCGCCCATCTTACTCTTTAAGCATCGCGGCTTAATGGCGATTGTAATACATGGAATAGCACGTTACTTGATAATATCTCACAATAAAGTTTACAAAAAAATCTTTTTCCATTTTGACCAATCTATATCCGAAGAATTTTACAAAAAGTATATCTTTTTACGTGCACATATACAACGATTACACAACATTTTCGAAAATTTATACATTAACTGGAGGTCAAACGGAAAATATCACAAATGTTAATGGCGAAATTATATATAATACGGGATTAAACGGAGCAAGATCGGAATTTTTCAACAATCAATTGGAATTCAAAATACGTTTTCTGCAAGTACATCAAACGGCAGAGCGTTCTCTTCTGCATTTTTTCGTGCCGTTTCCAAGACGGTAAATTAATTATTGTAAGTAGTTGTAAATTGTATCCTAAAAATCATTGAACGAGATGAAGTTTTTAGAGAAGTAGGCAAGAAACGATTACGATTAACCTGGTATCCCTTCTCTCTGATAACTATATATATAGTCAATATTATTCGGCGATTTAACTAATTGCTGCATAGTTCGTTAAACTTGCATGTATAATTTTCTTTTCCGACGGTCATATAGCGATACTTGCACTGAGCCGGAGAAAGCCGTCGACGAGAGACGCGGGGCAGCGACCGCTTGCAAGATAAATGCGTTACGTATATGTGACAAAGTTCATAATTAAGCAAAAACGGGACATCTCGTGTCGCATCTGATCATTATCTCTCGGTGATCGACACACACCGTGCGAAGTCGGTGCCAGCCCGAGTGCGCGCGGCGAGACTACGTCTCTTAATTAATCAATTATATAAATTTTAATGAATCAATTCATCTCTTTCTCTCTCTTTCTCTCGCTCTCTTTTTTTAAATCGTTCCATCCTACAAACTATCGCATTTTTTTCGTCACGGTTAAGGATAATTCTTTCATTTTTTCTTCCTTTCTGACTCCGAAACGTGCAGTCATGCACGTAAAAATGCCGCTCGACGGCTCTTGGAGAATAACGCGTTTATGTACGTATATACATATATATACGATCATATTTATATGTATTACGCGCGTTTTTGTGTTTGCATATCAACGTAACAGCTACCGAAGAATCACGGATATGTACAACTAGAGATATGCCCGGCCGATGCGTTCAACTCACTTTGAATGATATACAATTCGCATGCATTAGATCTTAGAATAGAATTCTCTTGATAATTTCATGAATTAACGCTGGCGCGCGTGTTGAATTCTAGTCATTGTTTGAAATCTAGCATCAAGCATCGAGTGAAATTGCACTTTAATACTATAAGTAGAAGTTTAGCGTGAATTTTTATGTGAATTGTAGATCGCTTAAAGTGAGCCCCAGCATCCATTCATTCGGCCTTTTGCTCCTCGATTTTCTCGAGGTAATAATCTTCCGGTTTGTTTTCTGTCCTGCCCATCTCTCGTTCTTCGCGCTTCTTCCTTTCTCCTACCTTCATCGTGCGGTCCGCGCTCTCGACCGACGAAGAAAGCAAGGAGCCCTTAATACTGGTACCGTTTTACATTTAGGATCGGCCCCTGGGAGCTCGCACGGTAGTTTCCTTAATCAGAGTGGTCCCAAAAATATTAAGAAGTAATCGTTTCGCGTGTGCGCACCGCTCTTAATACGATAGTCACCTTTTAACTGACAATGAGTTCTTTGGAATCAGCCTCGAGAAAAGGGGATGACGGACGAAGGATTGAATTATCGTCGAGCACGGACGCCGTCGAACACGTTGTTGTATAGCGAAACAACATTGCGTTTTATATATCGACGAGCTTTTATGTTTTGCTTTATCTTACGCGAAAGTAAAATGTTTTATTCATTATTTTGAAATAAATTGTATCCAAAATTAGATAATAAATAATAATAATAATACTAAATGATAATAGATAATAAATATTTTATGTGCGTGTCGATGATAGCTATTAATGAAATGATTAAATTAAATAATCTGAAATGAATAGCATATTGTTATTATTTATCTCGTCGACGATTTTCGAATTTAATAAAGTTGAGGTAATCTAATTTTGCATATAATCCATATAACATTCTCGTAATTCGCAACTAAGCATTGAAGTTTGTTTACGTATTGTTTTAGTATCGAATTAAAGTCAAAGGGTTACATAATGGCAGCGAATTAATCATTGTAATTGATTTTATTTTATTGAGAAGCCTGTAAAATTATGATTTTACGGGGAACAATGTTGTTTGCCGAAGGCGTCCGTGCTTTTCGGAGGCGAATTGGTACGCAGTTTGCTGCGATATTCGGCGGCGGCACAACGACGAATGGTTACAACGATTGCAATCGAGATGCAACGCTTGATAGACACCGTCCTTTTACAATCGATGATTCTCTTGATACGGGGGTTTAGTCGGAGGTCCAAGGAGCGTCGAATATTAATTACAATAATTAATTAATTAACGTTATTAGTAGCCATTTTGTTCATTTTACTGCTATATACATAATGTTCCTTGAGGATGCTACACATTAGGTAAATACTGTTGCGGTGTACCGGGATGTACTTTGACCTCGCTTATCATTTAGTGTAAATTGCACGCGGTGATGAGAGTACGCATGCTTGTTGCGTTTGCCATATTGTTGCGCGATTTCACGATTTAGTCTTCCGTTAATATTTGAGAAATTTTACTGCATTGCAGTGTGTAAGGTGATCGAAAGAAAAGAACGGAGAAAAATGTATCTATAGATTTCCATATTACGGGATATTTTTCCCGAAGAAGAAATTTTAAAACATGTAAAAAAAAAGCTATTCCTATAAATACAAAAAAACTTTAAATTTAATTATTTTTTGTTATAGGCAACAAAAAATATATTTTAAAGAAATAGGTTTTATAATCATTTTACTAATCACTATTGTCAAATGCGTTGGTAGATAACGATCGTAAATTAGATGCTGGCCATCATGTATCTAAGAAGTACTTTACGATTGCGATCTAACGGTATTATAAATACAGTTGGTTTAAATCTTGTTTCTCTTCAGTGGATTGGATCTCTACAAATTGGACCGATCAGATTGTTTTTCTTTCTTTTCACGGCTAGCACAGATAGAACAACTTTTGGGAATGATGCATTGATGTTTCTCTTCCACGGAAATTACTCTATCAAATATTGTTCCTTTTATTTTATTTTTTTTATTTACTCAGAGATATGTGTAATTGGCCTGTATGTGTTTGTTTCTCGTTTCTTATCCCGTTTGTCTGCCTCGCCCATTTGGTCTCTCATGTGGATATGTGTGATTACGTATTTTCGGAGAGATGGAGGATAAGGAAGGAAGTGGTATCCAAAAATATACAGAGTCCCCAGTGACGTCGCGAAGCATTTTGGGGAATGATACGACTAGCGTATATCTCGCATATATTTTTCTCGCAACATTAAAAAATCCCGGCGTTTCCGTGCTTTCGTACAGCCTACAGATTCGTCTAAAAGGTCGGTCTGCAGAAGCCGTTTCGAAAAAATATAAAATATCTGGGACGATTCGGACGTGGAAGACGGAGAGAGGGGGGAGGGGCAAGGCTATCTCGCGACCTCACTGGCTTGCGACGTCAGATTCCATATTGTTTCCTCATTAATTAATTAATTAACGCTATTAGCGAAATTATTTTTCCATAAAATTAGGCTGTCGGTTTCGAGTGTGTGCTCGTCGACGCGCGAATGCTTTTGTCACGTGAAAAAATAATTGAATAGAGTGATAGCACATTCGGACGCGGTATTTTCCACTCCATCGACACTCCTTGGTCTCGTTTTTTTTTTTACAATCTACGTATACATACGCTCGCTAAAACAGTCAGGAGAGAGGGACGGTAATCGAGAATGCAACATCGATCTACCCTCTAGCGTTAACAATATATAGTAAATACGATCTTTAAGTAGCAACTCCCAATATACATTTTTACGATGCGCTCTCATTGGATTCTATACGCAAATTCCTTATCACATGGTCGACTAGACGCAGAAAGAAATTGTTTAACATTAATAGAGCGAACAAACAAAGTGCGATAACAGCGATATATAACTTTATTACAGAGCTCCCGCGCGAAGGCGTAACTCTCGTATCAATGGAAAAACCTCAGGTACGACGTAAAATGATAAAAATAATGCTTACGAATGACGAGAAGTCACATGAAGCTACGTAATTTCTTTGGAGATATATCGATATATCGATTTAGACGGAGGCGCGATATATATTTCAAACGGAAACACTGGTTCAAACTGGGAAGCACTTCCGATATACGTCTAAACATTACGAATGTGTCGCGGATCTAGAATCACTTAGAATCGTCGTTTGGCAAAATGTTTAGAGATCGCCCGGTACGATCTCCCTCCTTCCTTCGTTGTACAAAAATAATAAAATCAGGCGCGACGCGTGGCATTTACTAATTTTTCTTTCTTTTTCTTTTGACGCGCCAGCGCGTCTCTGTCGAACGCGGAAGTTACGTCATCCGTCTCTCGATCCGCGATCTGATACTAATTTACTGCCACGTAACGTAATCCAGTATGATGCTTATTGGCTTTCATGCGAACTTAAGGGGATTCAAGAATCGTCGCTTTGCCACTTAATGATTGTGCTATGTCGTTACTTCAGAGATATGCTATATACTTTTTAAAACTCTTTGAAAAATCTTTGAAAATGGCGGCGTAATAATTTTTCCATCTCAGTATCGTTCGATTTTCTTGGGAAAATTCATCGAAGTGTTGCTTTCTGCAGCGATGGTGATTTCGTTTATCCGATATTTTGCTCAAATAACACGGAGATAATCGCGTGCATAATCGAATTTAAGAATGTCATGCTGTTTTCCAGACATTAGATGTTTTCCAAAAAAAAATCATCCTATTCTTTTCTGAAGAAATCGATTCTTCCTTTTTTTTCTATTGCAAAGATCGTATTTTTTCTCGCGTAATGTCCCCACATGATCAATGATAAAAACACGCTATCTGATATTTCTGTAGTATCGCGATGGATATTTATCTATTCTGATCGTAACACACGCCTTGTCATTCGACTTAACGACTTACAGATTCTAACTTGTACGAGCGTCCGTGACGCTTGTGTTACATGAATTTTCGACAAAGTGAAATCTCTCGGTCCTCACAAGCTCCTCTTTCGTTTTGAGATCGCACCTCGACAGGATCGTCGGCATGGGAAACGTTTTCGCAAAGATCAGAGCTAGTCTTCTGATCACGGTATTTGGACTACAAGCTTACAGGTTACTTCTCCGAGCGGCGAGGATCGATGATATCGACGTCGCCCTTGATTGCCACTATGACTTCCAGCTCATTAGTTTCCTGAACGAGACCTTCTTCAGATGAAAAGCAGCATTCAGTATATCGGACTCGCGCGTATCTTCCCCGTCGGAGTGAACCTCCCGTCTACGTCCCGACATCATTAGCCGATGTCTCAGGCCTCTGGATGTGGGGTCCGACAGTGCTTCCGAAACAGGCACCTTTTCTTTGCTGGATCCTGGCAAGGACACCGATCTGCCGACGGAAAATCCCTTGCTGAGTCTATCGAGGGTCGCGGGCAGCAAGGTCCGCCTCGGTATGGCTTGTTCTCTTTCTCGGAGGATGAATCTGCCGAGAGTCTTCCAAAAGGCTTGCGTGGTGTAAACATTCTCGTCGTCGTTCAACACCCTCAACTGACGATTTCCGCTCCCGACAGCGCCCGCGCCGCCCCATTCCAGCTCCTCGACCAGGGCGAACTTGGCCGGGTTCTCCATTCTTCTGGCCTTTATCAGAGCTTGCGCCAGCACGTCCTGCGCCGAGCTGCTTATCGGTACCCGTAGAATCGCATAAGGGATCTCCGGTGAGACGTTGTAGATGCAGACCAGAAAGGTATCCGCCTCGTCCCATATGTGAGTGGATTGGTCCCTCGCGTTGGAATCGTTGAGCTTCGAGTGGCCGGCCGTGCTCCTGATGGAGGCGAGCCACGCTCTACTGCTCGGATCGTCGCCCACTCGCTTCAGCAGAAAGCGACCTTGCCCTTTCCAGAGAGCCTGCGCTTGAAGGGGATGCTCCGTGGGGTCCAGCACGCGTTGAGTCGGTAGCTCTTCCCTGTCCCTTTTCTCCCATCCGCGGGACACCTCCTCCACCAAAATGTACTCATCTACGTGATCCGGCGATATCCCGGCCTTTTGCAACGCCTGCAGCATCACCTCTTGTGTAGTACTCTCCTGGGTTACCTTCAGAATGGTGTACGGTTCGTCCGGTATCACGTGGTAGACCATCAAGAAGAACATTCGTCTCTTCAAGGTGACGCCACCAAGAGATCCGGGATCGACAGTACTCAGTTTCTCGGGCTCCTTGCTCGATGAGAGACGCTTGGACGACTCCTTATGATCGCGGCAGCAGGTGTTGTAGTCCAAGCTCTCCTCCTCCAAGCGGGAATAGATGAAGAGCGTGGAAAGGGCTAGCGGCTTGTTCTTGCAGGATCGTAATCGCACGTGTCGGTAGCCGGGCCGTAGACACTTGAGCGGTATTACACGTTGCGCGATCACGTGATGGGAGCTCGCCTCGATAACACCGAAACGCAGGAAGGCGAGATCCTTGAACATCACTTGGAAGCAGAATTTGTCGTTCCAGATGGGATTCAACGCATTGTTCTGGATCACCTTCGTTTTGTGCTTCGCGCAGTCGATCGGTATACCGACCAATTCGACCTCGACGTACGTGCTGGTGGCGAAGTTTGTAATTGAGACGTATTGTCCTGAGATTATTGATAGACTTAAATGCGCCGAATGTAGCCCGTCGAATTCCTTGTCCCAAGGGTTGAATCGCCTGTCAAAACATTGATTATTGTTCAAAAAAATTTTCGAAATAATATGTTTAATCATTCAGAAATAACTCGCTATTTAACTATTTTCTTTAAATATGAATATACACGTTCTATTATGGTAAAGATAAATCTTTATAACGTGTAATCAAAAGTAATCATTTAACAACTATTGCTTATAATTTTTAATTTTTAATCGATCTTTTAAGAAATATATACTACATTAATAATTGCATTATCATTGCTGCACAATTAGAAAATTTATAAGAAATACAATAGGACATGAGAATTACCTGTACATCATGTGTCCTTTATCCCACATCACCGAGGGTTTCCTAACGTATCCGCAATGACCACTTTGCTCGAACATGGCTGAATTCAGGTTTAAACCCGCGTCATCGGTTTGATAGTTTAACGCAACCATTTGGATTCCGAAAGCCCAAAATATAACAGGATTGAAATTTGTGGAATCAATACGCATCCCAGCGGGATACGTTCGAATGAGCTGAGTTTCGGCATGAGCGACCACGCCTAACGGCTGCTTCCTACAGATCTTCTTCGCCGAGCTCTCGTTCAGAGATGAACATTGAAAGCAGAGCGGCATTCCACGAGTGGATCTAATAACATAAGAGCAAAAAAATCCATACCATTATGTCTTTTATTTATAAAATCAGTACTCGTTAATTAATGCCGATTATAATACAGCCAAAAGTTTAAAACAAAAAAAAACGCAAAACGCAAGAAAGTAAAATTGAGTAAATTAAGAAAATATAATGGCAAATATATATGACAAACATAAGTGTAAAAATGAACAGAGAAAATTACTTTACAATGAGATATTAACCTGAAGATGTTATCGATGTTGCTGCCGCCGCTCGCGATCGAGGCGGACGTCGAGAGTGATTGCGGCGATCCCGACGAGGAAGCTATGCTGCTGGGTCCTATACCGGCGATACTGTGTCTCTGAACTGGCCCCGTGTGCGTTTGGTGACGTATTTTTCCCGGTACAACTGGCATGGTGTTCAGTCCGCGGAATTTAATCGCCTGCAGATAAATCACCAAGTCCGACAGCTCCTTGGCTATCTGGCTGCTCTGCTTTTGCGTCTTGTCGTCCACCCCCGAGTCCGACTTCAAACGGCCGTGCGGCACTTGGCCGCCACCCAGATATCTCTCGTAACTCGAAATCGAGTTATCTGTAAATTGCATGTCGAGCGATTCACTTTAGTGACTTTTTAACTGGCTGCAATTACCGTATTTCTTGAAAGCAAGTGGGAAAGAAGGATTTTAAACTCGGAAATAAACGGTTAATTAAGTGGGAAACAGCGACAGTATAGCACGTAGCATATTTAGATTAAACCTGAGCTTAGGAAGGATTAAGAACAGAAGTTTATTAATAACGAACTTCGATATCTTTTAGGGAAATATAGATCTGGTTGGTATCGTCGATTAAATTTTCCAAGCGCATTCCAATATTGATAATTTATTATTTTTACCATCGATGTTGTCATCCTCGTCGTCGTCCTCTTCGTCATCCTCGTCCTCGCTAAAGTACTCGACAACCGACGTGCTGCTTACGTCAGTCCGCATTTGCTTCATGGAGGATGCCCGATCCGACATGAGCATTTTCCCTCGATGACTGACGGGTGTGTGTGACAAAGGGCCGGCGGGATCGATTACCAGCTTCTTATTTTTTATCAAGATTCGGTAACGAAGCTGCGAAGGCGAAGGCAGTTGAGGATCGTCACTGAAGTCGGTCTCGAAGAGAAATTTCGTCACCAATTTCTCGCCAAAAACGGACTGAAATTACGACGTATATTCCTCGTAATTTGGTTCAGGCGCGATAATAATAAGAAAATAATTTGCCAGATAATTAATACCTGAAATATTTGTGCCATGCGAGCTTGCTGACTGGGCGAACAGTGGTTCTCGATGGAAAGGATTACGGGATAGGGGGATACGACAAAGGCGCTTCGATCGATCGCCTCGACGACCTGGCGAAATGGTATTTTTGTAGTGAAAGTGTGACCATGATAAATCAACGGCGATCCATCGTCGCCGTCCCAACAATCGAGCTCAACACAGCGACACCCGGTTAAGAGCACCTGCACAAATTTTTGTTCTTATCAGACAGTTTTATTCGCGCTAATCACCACCTCGTTCTAACGGTAATTCGTACTTTACATTAAAAAAAAATTATTTTTTTTAACTAATAGATTTTTTCATAATTCTTAAGTATATAAATAATTTCATTCATTTATGTATTCTATGTCTCACTGAATAATACGCGAAAAATTATTAAACAGTAATTATGCATAGTTAAAATTATTAAATAGTAAATATATTCGAAATTCATAACAATGGAACATGAAGAATTCATAATACTCTAGTAAAATTATTTCATATCTCAGTTCTGAAATGAAATTTATTCATTGCGCGAATCTATTTTTGAAAGTCGCAACGTACCTGCGAGTATAATTGCACGGAGGACTCTCCTTTGAGTTGATGCCCGGTTAAATATGTATTGTGGGAACTTGCAATGTAATATTGCGACAGAGGCTGCTGCATCTCGGTTTCGGACGGTGTCGCATACTCGTTCGGGAAGGCGTAATTGTCCTTGTCCATCATATACCGTGCAAAACCCTCGAAAGACAGACACCACTGTGTGCGAAGTGCCGGGTCCGGTTCGTGCCTCTGAAATGAGAGTAAACGGGCCCGCTTGATTGTGTGCTACGTCGTACGTTCGTGTATGGTACACGTGTAATAGCGGATGCGAGACGGCGGTCGCATGAGCATTGGGGGTGAAGTTAGATTTTCTATTTCCCAGATAAGGGCAAATTGAAATCACGATTCCGGTATAAAAGGCAATGAAAGGTGGGATCGTTTATCGTCTTCAACAAAGGCAGTTTATTCGCGAGATTGAACGCAAACATCTTAACTGTGTATACGGTGGTCTGGCGTGCAAAAATATTAAGGGATATTAATTTCCTGTATATCCGCAAAAAGAAATTGTCAGAGAGAAATGAGGGCCGTCGAGAGCAAACATTCTTTCGCGCCGGGATTTCTGATCCCGTAAACATTTACCTTGATCAACGCCTTGATTTCGTCGTCGCTCAACTTTTCCTGCTGCCGAGATTCCAAGAATTTTGTAAACGTTGCTAAAGTGATTACTTGGGATTTTGACGTGTCCACGCCCGAGCAATTATTGACTATACTCGCTGCCGCGACGGCGTCGAAGATTTGCTTTTTTTGTAGATTGCTGCCCGTCTTGTATTCGTGACAATCAATAGAGTTGTTTCTCGTCAACAAGCCTGGCACATTAAAATATTGATTTTTAATTTTAAATAATACTTAAAAAAGTCAGTCAAAGATTAAAACCAATGTTAATTATGGTAACTTTCATTTTTAATAAATATAGACAAATATTATGTTATGTTAATTGAATGGATTGTAATAGAGCTTAATGTTCTGAATCTATTTTATTTAAAACTTTATAGTGGATTAATTTATATATCTATATTTAATTTATCGGATTACAATGAAATTTAAGGGTCGTTTTGTACGTTTATATTGAATTCTACGTTCTATTTTCTTTATACACAATGTTTAATAATTATTTTAATTTCATTCCTATCAGCTTACCGATTCTTTGTGGAGTGGCATCACTGGTTTGTCTGAGCACCACCGGGCGAATATTAAAGTCCCTTAACGATCCGTCACTCTGGCTGCGGCAGGTTATCGCTAATTGGCTGAATAAATCACGCAAATCTTTTCTGGCCCGTAAGCTGAACGATCGGAAAAGCGCGACGAATTCCACAAAGTTCAATTGCGTCTCATACATGATCGAGGTAGTTTGCGCTTTCATCTGCCAAGGGGCCTCCAAGCCTCCCGGTATCCGTTCCAAGCCTCCCGGTATGCGTTCCAAACCACCGGATCCGTTCTTATCCTTTTCTCTGGCGACACATAGCAAACTACGCACGCGTTATCGCGAGGTGTACAAGAAAACTTGTCGATCATAATACAAATAACTGAATTTTTTCATGTAAAATTTTATAAAAGTTTTGAAATTTTTTTTATTTCTATATTTTTCTTAATTCAGAAACATATTTTTGAGGCTTTAAAAGCCATGTGTTCCTAAAATATGATTATTTACATTTAAAACTGACGAAGTTATGACCATTTGACTCGAAAGTTAAGAAGTTACATTGATAAACACAAAAAGTTTCAGACTTTTCGTTTAAGAAAAAAAAAGAAAAAGGCAAAGGTTGCTCATTTTTATCGTTTTAGAGAAAACTTTCTTAAATCTAGATTTATGTTCAAATGATATTCGACACGGAGCTGTGTAAGATTTTCTATTCCGACCTATATAATTCTCGACCTATATAAATCTTTTGCTCTCGGAATCGATAGATAAAGAGAATTTGATGCGGGGAATCAGGCGTGTGAGAGAATGATGTACGAGTACCTTACCTTTGAAAAGCGGAGTAAGGCAAGTTGGAAGTGATACGATCGGCGGAACCAGGCGGGCTACGCGGCGGGATTCGGTCTCGGCTTGCTCTCGGTGACGCCGGCAGAATCCTCGTTAAAGACTCTCTGCTACCCGTCAGATGACGAAGAGGCGTGGCGCACAGACCGCCGTCCGAGGTCGAGGAGTCGTACTGTTTTATACTCAGATCCTGTCACGTCAAAATCAAAACTATTCAATTCGGTGAACATCGCGAATTATTCACGAAAATGAAACACGGCGTTTGTGCTCTTTAAAAGTGAATCAGTGGGATCATCACTGATTTAAATTCTCAATAGTGAAATTCGATAGTGAAATTCTCTGTCTTTTAGTGATATTCATTGTTTGAATCAATATATTATCACTAGAACAATATTGAAATATTGTAAGTACACTGAAATCAGATGATTTCACTGATTCACTTTTAGAGAGTGGTGATCGGTTGTTCGATCTACGTTTATTGTAAGAGACGCGAGATAAAGGCCTTGGTGCGAACCTTGGTTAGAGCATGAATGTTGCCGATTGACTTTGTCTTTTTGCCTTTAACATTTCGTCTGCGTAGAGTACTGCTGCTCGTCGGAGACAGCGTGCCGACGCTTTCCGTCATGGACCAGTCGCGACCGCCGAAAACGCGAATAGCGTCGGCCGTCGTCGGCTGGTCCACGCCCTCGATCGGTTGTTCCAAGTAGGAAAAGTATAACTGAAGATATTTCTCTTTCAACCAGCGTGATCTACGATCTGTTAACTGTTGTTGTCGTTTGAGGCCTCGCAATATCCAGCACAATCCCATGTACCATATTCTGAAAGCGAAGCAACAGTGAGAATTACATAATTCATATGGTATAATACGTATAATTTAGCGATAAATCATAAATTATTGAGAGAGAATTGTTAGGACCGTTCACAAAATATGTAGGAAATGTTAATTTGTTATTATTAATATGCTTGATATAATTATGAACATATCATTTATATTTACTATTAATGAAGCCAGTCTTCTCTGCGGGAAGGTATATTAATGAATAGTGGCGTAGTAATTAATTTACACAGTGACTTTTTGTGTGAAAAAATTCGAAGTTTATATAACACAAATGACCGCGGAAATAAAATGGTTAAATTAAGAAAAATATTTGTGAAATAATCTCGAACATATAAAACAGAGAAAATTTTTCCGACAAAATGTGATATTAAGAACGTAAAGCTTAATAAAGCTAAGCTTAATGAAAATGTATTTTTAAAACATTATACGTGATATGAGATATGCGACAAATTTCTAGAATGATCTTTCCTTTCTCTGAATTATTAAACTAAAAAACATTTACAAAAATTAATCGCAAAACTAGCGAAATAGTTCATACGTACCTGCTAAGGGTGGGAGGGCAAAGTAGCAAGATCAGTCGATTGTCCGGAAGATTGGAGCCGTACATGAGGCCGATGCAGCAGTCGGAGCCAGGTAGGCCGTATCTCTTGCAGATGCTCCTGAGATCAGCCTCTCGATCGCGATCGCAACAACCGATCATTATCTCCTTTACCGATCCCAGGTCGAGGTATCCCTCCTCCAAAGTGACAGAAGCGCAGTCAGCCTGCTGCTGCGTGTACCTGCCGACTAGGCCCGCCGGTATCGCGTCCTCCGGGTTCGTGCTTAACGAAAACTCTGTGAGAGCCGCGCCGCCAACTTGCGCCGTTTTCAGAGGACTCCAGGGTGGCTTTTCCCACACGAAAGTGCCACAAGCGCGATCGACGCGCGCGAACACCAACGCCGTCCTCGAGGTGCCACCCTCGCAGTCCCAATGCACCAAAGTCGTTCCATGATGTAGCACCTACGATGTAGTTTTAAGAAATATAGAGACCCGTGTGTATATTTTATAGATTAATGAAAAAGGTTCTTCGATTTTCCATTAATGAAAAAGTTCTTCAATTTTATATTCGGTAAGGTTAGAAAATCAAAGTTTCTTAAGCAGAGAAGTTCAAAATTTTCAAATTTTTATAGATAAAAAGAGGACAACTGAATTTAGAAATTTTTCTGTAATTTTGCAAGTTTGTTTTTAATTTTAAACATATTGGATCTTTTGCATCTACATAATAATATTGATCGTTATGAAATATTTTATTCATTATTTTGGCTACAATCAATTTTTGAATTATTTTTCTTGCGCGTTCGATCATTATTATATTATTAATATTATATTATTAATTCGAATTAATTTTCTCGATCATTATACATATTATTAAACATATCATTACATTATCAATGGATAAATACGTTAAATTTCTATCAAAAATTTCTGAAGAAGAAAAATTCTTAATTTTCCGTAAGTTTCCGTAAACAAATTTTAGTTTAATTTAGCATTTATAAATGATATTTTGTGTTATGGGTTAATACATAGTATACATGTATGTATAAAAGCTTTTGGGATTTTGCGTATACTATACATTTCGTCGCCAACTGATAGAAATACCGTATTGTGTAAATGCAAAAAGATAAATGTAACAAAAATGTAAATATATAAGTCCACGTTCGAATTTTGCTCGAAACGTCGTGCTGCCAGATTTTAATGCAGTAATAATCTGGATTGTCGTTTTATTGGATTACCGTGATAATGCCATTGTTTAAAAAGAAAACACAGTGAGCGCTCTTGCCATAAATATAAATATATTAATTTCAGTTGCGCGCGTAAAGGTACTCGCTACCACGAGGTCATCCGCGCAACTGCGCCGCACGAAGTGCTTCCACAAAGTACTAGACGCCGTGAGTGCATTTATAACACTGATGGGACTCGTAATGCACTTATAACGGCGTTTACGCGGTCGTTTCTAAGCGCGGGTACGCACAGGTGGACATTTATGGCGCATACGCTCGCGTATTCGCGAATTCGCGTATTTGGTCAGAGTTATTTATCGGTGACGTAGGCAGTTATTCAAATTTACAATTTCCCATCGCGTAATATGTGCGGTACCTAAAAATGGACGAAGAAAAAAACTGTACACCCCAATATCGAAATATCGAGTATTGAAACACTGACGAAAGTTTAATTTTCTAAATATAGAATGTATATATATTTCACGTAATGTATATTTCATTGTCTCATTGTCGCATTGTCGCGAATAGGGATAGAAGTTAATTTTGTGCAAATGTCGAGGGACAAAATTTCAATTCACTTTCAATTAGTTTCAATTATTCGCCAGTATCAGTATGAGCAAACGAAGAGCAGGAATTTAATTAATTAATTTAATTAATTTACGAGACGTTAGCATGTGGTTTTCATCCATTTTTATTTTCGTGGTCACATTCAAATTATCTTTGAAGCTTCTGACGTTTGCTTTTCCATTAAAAAATATCATCCGCATTTTAACGTGACAGAGCTGCAGTTTTTACGATAGTTTGTTAAAAAGGTGCCAATTTCACGACATTTTCAAGCTTAACATCTGTCAATTAATTTCTACGAGGCTTTAAATTGATTAGACTCTTTGAATATAAGGCTTTTTAAATAAAAATTTTCAGTTTCATTTTTATAAAACAACTTCAAGCTAAATTTTCTTTAAAATGAAGATATTTGGAATTATTTAACGAAATCTTATTTTTTAAATTATTAATTAATTAGTTCGTAACTTTAAGTTATATTAATTCAATTCGAGAAATAATTAGAAAAGAAATATGTTTAATATTTCAAATGATAAAAGATTTTAAAGATTAAATTTTTGTTAAATAAATATTAACAATTTAGTTAACAATTTATGGACAAAAGTTCTTGAATTATCAACAACAATTCATTAATATTAATTGCGCTTGTATAATTGAGTAACGTATTACACGTATGTATAAATTTGACTATATATTTGCGCGTTATCCTAACATTTATTGGTGCCAAATCAATTATCTTTATGAGAAACACATCATTCGCAGGGGGATTGGACTGAAAGAAGTTGTATAACTTCTCCCGAAATTCTCTCGAAATACCCATATTTCTCACTTGACATACAGTCAATGGATCGCGTGTTATGTAGGTACCCTCCCTGAACGTTCTGTGGTAGCAGAGAGAAATTCATGGTGTATCGATTGCGTCGGAATTTCATGATGGGAAGATAACGAATTTTATTCGTTATGAACCATTTTTCCCCACAAATACGTCGTGTCCTATTTTTTTCTCTTGCCACTCAATTAACGCTGACAATTGGTGGCTCGATTCAAAAGGATGACCTGGTTTTGCGTTACAACGTTTTTTCCGTCGGTCCCCTTGGTCCATCTGCCGCAGAGAGAGAGCGAGAGAGAGAGAGAGAGAGAGAGAGAGAGAGAGAGAAAGAGAGAGAGAGAGAATGAGATAGGAGCCTTTTCTTCTCCCCTCTTCGTCTTTCCGCATATTTCTCTGTTTCCTCTAATTTCCGCAAAGCTTGCCGGAGTAAGGCTAGTTCCCTTTAAAATCCTTTTGACGTGTAGCAAACTACGTGCTGGCGGTATCTTTTATCCCAGTGGCGCAACGCCATGGAGGAAGCATCGTCGCCGCCGTGACATTAATATCTCGAAATCGTCCGTGGGTAAGGAAATACTTTATGTTGATACGAGTGCACCGGTACCGCATACATCCTCGATGTTCCTTAATGAAAATCTTCAATCTCAGCATATAAGCTATATAGAAATGTGTGCGAGTTACACCTTTTTATACAATATCTCAATAGCTAGATATCAAGAATCGCGAAAATAGCAAACGCGGCGTGAAAGGCGAATATCTTTCCTATACTTCTTTTGCAATTCACGTTGAACGGGAAACTGTAGATCTAAGGATCTCTGGACCGCTCTCTCTTTACTTGGCTACGATACTAAAGAAAAAAAATGCGTAGGTGTTCACTTAAATTTCAAAGGCAGCTCTGAAATTCCTTAGTAAAATAGAAATTTCTTGCGCTGGCGTTTGCTTGGAACATGATGACGGTGCTACAAAGAGGCAGTTTGAATCGTATCTTAAATCGTTTTTACTTATCTGCAAATCTCAGTTCTTGGGGTATCGATCAATATAAAAAATGTATACGTAAACGAAATGTCATATCTTTCATTTACATGATATTTCACGTCCAAGTTACTTTTAGCTTTGATATTTTTCAAATTTCTAGATTCTCGTTATTTAAATGCGACACGATTATAATGCACAAAGAAAATGTTAACAAATTTCTAGATCCGTTAAAACGGATTTCTTGTCAGTCATAATTACGATAACAAGCACAAATGTTGTAGCATTCTAATTAAATAAACGGAACTACTCTCTCTCTCTCTCTCTCTCTCTCTCTCTCTCTCTTTCTGTTCTGAGCAGAGAGAGAGAGAGAGAGAGAGAGAGAGAGAGACGAAAGAATTCTTCTGAATACGGTATCGCCTTTCGCCTCGCGGTACTTGAACTTTAGCATCTCGGATGTTTCTTCCGTTATGATACATTAAAGTCTCATTCATATTGAAGCTTTCCGACTCGAAATAGGAAAAACATTATTCATTTTGAATGAAACAAAAAAGATTTAAAACTCGGATATAAATATATCCGCTCGTGTATATAATTATTTCATATTATCTTTCTAAAAAGTGATAGTTTGAAATTGCATAAAAGATTTACATTCTATATACTTTATTCTCTGAAATAAATTTCAAATTGTTTATTAAGTTTCTTTATGTAAAGAGAGACAACTGCAAGTTAATTATAAAATTATAGGATTTTCATTGCGAAAGAGGATTTCAAATACGTTATGTAAATACCTGAATGTATTATAATGGGCAACAAAACTTTAATGACGGATTAGTTTTAAATTTAACGCATCCCTTAAGTTCAATAAATAAACTTCTCTTAATTGTCACGCTGTTTAATATCCGCATATAAAATGCGATGATAAAAAACGATAGTAAATTCCTTAAAAAAATAGATATCGCAAAAAGGTTATTTAAAGAGATATCTGTACTCTATCTTTTACTTTACATTAGCACAGTAATTCCTTCGTAATTTGTAGCATGATAATATCTAACGAAGTATTGTGAATTAAATGCTACGTGCATTGATTTTTGCGCAATACAAATGCTAATAGTATCGCCATGTGGCATGGATAACAGAACGTCTCTAATTCCCCACTGCGGCCTATAACGGCGCATCAGGATCAAAAGCGTTCTGGTGTCGCATTGTGCAACAAATCCTGCGAGTCCAATATTTGCAATGCACTCCACGCGCAGCGTCGCGATGTCACGTATACAATTGGCAGTTTCGTTATGTGACGCAATGTCTCTCAATCCCAAAACGATCGCAACGATCTCAGACGGATGTCTATGTTTCTCTCTCTCTCTCTCCCTCCCTGTCTCTCTCCCTTTCTCCCTTTGTCTATCTGTCTATCTATTTATCTATCTTTGTGTACGTGTGTTGCCAATAAGTAATCCGGATGCAACATGCAGAGAGCGAACGTTGCGCGTTATCACAAAGCGGAAATTACATTGTGTAATTAGAACTTTCGTAATATTACCAATTACGTCAAATTTAATTAAGTCTCAACGCAGGCATTTTCCTCTGCACTCTGAACATATGTGACGAGGCGACAGTGTTGCTTTCTATAATTATTTGCTCTTAATTTCATCAATATTTTCAATTAGTCTTATAAAGAATTGGGATTTTAAAACTTTTATCTTCCCCCTTCCTTATATGACAACAGAGAAATATGCTGTTTACTTTGTGAACTTTGAGAACTTTTTTTTTCTTTCTTAAAGTAATCCGGTCAACACCTGAGTGAGTCAGCCAGAATAAAGTTTAAGAGAAGTTTTAACGATTTAGGTATTTATTTTTTGTCATTCTTTAAATTGTGTTTAAAGTTCATATCTTTAGAATAAAAACTAAGTATAATGGAAGTTGCTTGCACGTGTATCGGACATGTAGATATAACTCGCGAAAATGCCGCTTATGCAGTATAATTGTCGGCGTAAAATTGACGGCACAAGATTCTCATTTCGATACGGTATCTCTACATTTCCGTATGAGATTGCGCATTTGTCTGATAGAATGCGGCGTGCGCAACATACCTGCAGAAGATGAAGATCCATGCCAGTGTGCGGCGCGGCAACGGGAAACAAAGCGACTCCGTGGTCGATCTTGAGCGGCTGCACGGGCTTGTAGGAGTCCAAATCAAGATGATAGTCATTCTCGTCGCATTCCTCCGCCATGTAGGTTTGCTCGATCGCGGTCGTGTGAACGCTCAGGGTGCGATGAAGGGAACCGGTAGTCGCGTCTCTGCCACGAGCATGCCGATGCTTAAAAGAAAAAGATATGCCTCGTTAAATTAAACCGAATTATTTAAACCGAGTTATTTAAGATACGTACGGACACGTCGAAAAAAAGAAATCTCTAGACAATATCGGCGATCATTCTTGTTTATATAAATATAATTACTTTTACATTAACAACGATTCATTGATACACATTAAAGCTAGTCTATAGGCAATTCACGTCAGATTAAAGTACAGAATACTATTTAAATTTTATATATTTTTATGTATACTTTATACATATACATGGATTTATATTTTTTGAGATGATTTTGTTGTTACGCAACACATAAAATTATAAAGTAAATTCTAATGCGAGTTGGATAGATTATTTAAAGCGGCTTATACTATAATAATTATTTCAAACGAACATTTGATTTCGTTGCTTCAAGCATCTAAATTTTTTCTTTCGTTTGTACGTGAAACGTACGTTGCGCGGTCGCAATTAACGTCATAGATTATTCATTAACGATGGCTTGGTTTTAACATTAATGTTTAAATATGCGTGTTACCTTGTGAAAGAGCGCGACTTTGTCGAGAACGGCATTTGTATCGTGAACTGGTGCGATGGGGTTCTCCGGTTTGTTCAAGGAGGCAATCCTCGAACTCCATCCCGACGGCGTCTCTGTGTTGCTCTCGACGGCGATCCTGGCGACCGGCGTAGAGGAAGGCACGTGTTCTTGAGGTTCGCTTTCCTTAACGCTAGCACGTGGTGACTCGCGATTTTCCTTGAACTCGGGCTGGGGCTGAAACATGCCGAGTCAACTTTTTAAGAACCGTAGTTAAGTTTGTTGTGCACGGGGATTGTGTCTGTATTATGGAAAAACTTCAATCTATCTCGTCCTGCAGTTCCGTAACAACTATACCGTGTAATTCAGAATAAATAAAGTAACAATGAAAATGCGATTTGTGTCATAAATAGCTCTTCAATTTTCACAATAAATCTCTTCCCCAGAGACATATATAATGGAAATCGGAAAGCTGCTGAAACTTGATAATTATTTTAATAAGTAGACAGAACAAAATAAATAAAATATTAAACTGTAAAAGAAATTCATTATTTTTATTTTTATATGATGTAAAAAATATATAATATATACTGAAATTTGTAAAAATAAAAAAGAGCCAACAGTTTGGTTCTTTCTTATAATTTTGTAATAATTATTCTGACTGTGTATAATTCAATGTTCAGAGGATGTGGACATTATTGATTTTTTAAATAATTATTTTTACATTTATATATGCCAGTAAAAGTAAATTAATGTATTAATTCATTCTACCGCTCTTATTATAAAATAAGAGAGATTTGGTTTTAGAAACTTTCCGAGATTGTCATCTTATTCCAAATATTCAATTTTAAAAGAAATCTATACAAATTTTTGTTTATTTTATTACGTTATTTTGCCACAATGAGAAAATAAAAGAAAAAAGAAGTTAAGGAAAATAAATTACGATTGATATATCACGTTAAGAAAAGAAAATAAATGCGAAGATCTGAAATTTTAATGATCTGTTTAGAGAGACAATAATAAAACTGGCTTTTAGTTTTATGTGTGACATACAAATACACTATTAAAACCAAACAAAAAACTAATAGAACGAAGAAAAATACGATAATAATTTGCTTAAAGCCATTTGCTATCGCGACATGCATACGAGAGCCACTGAGATGGACACTTGATATGAAATCATAAAATATTGTAGATGTGTATTATAATATAAAATTTGAAATTATATACTATATTTAATAAATATAATTAATTGGTACCAATGTAACGTTACAATCGATGGACCTAAAATTCAGAAGAAATAAAAAAACTGTTTTTTTCACGTATGTTACATCTCGTGATGATACCTCGAAAGAATACATTGTTCGCGACAAGACGTTCATTTTGAGGATGTAGATTCGATAATCCGAATAACGAAGTTGTCTTTGTTCCTCGAAGAGGAAACCTGGGGCTTTCGAAATGGGAATCAATAGTTTACGGCTTGCTCTCGAAATACAACCTCTCGAAATACACTCTCACGTGTTCATCAACAGGAGCACTGGATGGCCCTTTAAGTCTCTCAATGACTAGTAACATATAAAGAGCTCTTTCACAAGTGTAAATCTCTCGGCGGTCTCGTAAATATAAGTGGCACTGAGGAAGTGGAAAAATAGTGGCTGGTCTTATTTTTAATTTCTCGTAAAATTTCTCCGCCAGAAACGTGCGTTTTCACAAAAATACGAGGACACTGTAGCAGTAATTTAATTAACGAATCGAATGATATACATTAAATGAGTCGACTCGCCTTCGGCATTCTCTCGTGTGGTTATAATTACTATAATTACTCAGAAGAGAGTACATATAAAAATATATAATCAATATTTCAAAATTACGTCTTTTGCGGCGAAGTTCTTAAGTTGGATTAACGCAAATTATATGTACAAGTAGTACAAGTAATCGCTCGAAAGCTCGTTTATCCGTGAGTTAGAAGCGCGCCAGTAGCAAGAACTTTAATGCGGCTTATAATTAACTGTTATCCGATAACCTTAATCTATCGCGTATATATATATATATATATATATATATATATATATATTGTATATATGTATATCGGCGATCGTTCCATGACGCGGCGTCATAAGGTAATGCTGTTTCATTTTATCGCACCGTGTTACCCGCCGATCGACCCGCCGTCGGGCGGCATCCAAAGCCGCTAAGTCGTGCGATCCTAATTGCAAACGTGCTGAAACACACGTGAACACGTCTGCCGGCGGAATAATTTGAATACATCTCGATCGAGCTACTCGCGCGGATAAGAAATTACTTTCAGACGTTAATTTAACGCTTTCGTGAAGACGGAGGCATCGACTTGTCGCGCGATAGAATAAACGATATCATTTTTAATCGAAAAATCGAACTGTCTGCAAACGAACGAGGCAAACAGGATGGGAAAATTAACAGTTGAAGGGTCAGAGATATCTTGGGTCTTGAGGAACACACTTCATAAAAATATTATTTTAAGAAAGTTCAAATTTAAAAAAGAAAGATGTTAATTTAGTACTTGCTTGTTCCAAAGTAGAACTTATTTTTATAAAAGTAATTTCATCTCTTTATGAAAAAAAATTTTTCGCTTTTAAAAACAAGCAGAGATTGAGCTTTATATTAAAAAACGGACAGAGATTATTTGTCACTTGTTTAAAAGTTATATATATAACTTGCATATATACTCAATCGAAATACCTTGTATTTCTAATTATTTCTTCGTTTATTTTTATTAAAACTTTTAAATTGGAAGTAACTATGCAAAATATGACCAATTACAATATCTAAAAATTTTGATTAAAATAATCTTTTTTTCCTTATGCAATATAAGGTAACAATATATCTGCAAAATTTTTACATATTAGATAATTTTAGATTTTACATATTACATAATAGATTAAGCCGCAATTTTTCGTTAATTCGTTTTCAATAATATTGTTGTCATAAGTCAAAGAACCTGTTCTTTACACCCTCTTCTCTCTCTCTAGTCAGTACCATGGTATGTCTATAGATTTTTCTCTCATATATTTAATTCGCTACTGTCTCTATACGTTTGTTTATAATTTATGTTCTTGGCATTATCTACGAGTAACGATGTGGACACAGGAAATACGGTAACATAGAGAGCGACGGTCGTAACATTTTTTGCTCTTTCGGAACGAAGCGACTTTCGCGATGTCTGTTGCTTAACCTCGTTATTCTTTCTCCCTTTCTCTCTGCCCCCCTCACTTTCCACAGAAATGTACCCCAAAGGACGTTGTACGTGACGATGAGAGGGGCAACCAGTAACACACAGAGCAACGGGATAACTGAACGACGCATATCGTAGGCTCGGTGTCTGGCGCATCACGTGCGCCTCGCGCCGATGCCGATTTGGAATTCCATTTGCGAGCCGCGACAACCGTACCGTATATACATTTGGTTTGGTAGATTATATATCTTCCAAATAGAGAGAGACAGAGAGAGAAGAGGGGGGGGGAGAGCAAGGAAGGAGAGAGATAGTAATAATGAGTTATACCTACTACGCTACGTCTTCGATAGTCTCAAGGCAAAGCATATCGTTTACTTTGCTCCCGTAATGTCAATCGATGTTGAATTCATTTGAATGTAATTAGTGATCAACACTCTCGGGAGAGACGCGAACGTTCGGGACGTGAATGATCACATCGCAGATTGATTAACCTCGCGCCCTAGAAATTGTACATTCTGGTACGTTTTCCATCAGCGGGATGCGTATAATGAAGCGTGAATAATTTCCTCGAATTTACATTATACATTCATGTATACATTCATAAATACATTTATTTAAAAAAATATATAATATGATAGTGACAATTTTGTTAATGCTGGTACATTAACAGATAGATCTTTTTATAACTCATTATGGCTTTTTTTCTGATTACAGTTCTATTTTCCTGAAATGATCGTGAATATATAAATAAAATATATAGGTATAAATATAAAATATTATATAAAAATTTTGTATAATTTAACATTAAACGTTTTTATTGACTAATATATATTTGATTAAGGTTTGTATAAATAAATACCGTATTTATTTAAGCCGGTTAAATAATTCGCAGAATTCACAGAATATAAATATATTTTGATATATGTGTATATATTTTATTCGCAATTCTTTTATCAAATATTTTTCACGGCACATAAAATTATGAACGAATTTTATATCTCGAATTCCAACAAGAAACTAAAATGTGAGATTTACTTTAACAAGTCCTATTAAATTGCCATACTCTCGGTCTCCTTTCTCGGAACAAATGCTCCGCGCCGCGACGACTTCGTGATCCTGTTTCGCGCGAACGGAGAGTGTAATTACAAGTGTAATACAAATTCGTTGGTGTTGAACACGTGCTTGCTTTTAACGACTGGCGACTTTGTGGATTTCGTCGCGCAATTTAAGTTTCATGGTCCGCTCTTAGAGGCACTGATTTTCGTTGCGGTCGTCCGAACATACTCTCAAATAACGCGACGCTGTAAAAAGCAAAGAAGACGCCGCGCCGTTCCGCTCCCCGATGACGATCGTTAGCAACAAGAGCAAGTAGTTTCCGCCGGCCTACAACCATCGTAGCTGCTGGAGGCCGATAGAAACCCCTTTCCTTGTCGCTTTTACGGTGCTACCTTCGCCTCGATGCCCTTCCGCCACGCTGCCATTCTTCGTTGAAACTTCGCAGAAGAATTTCGATGCGCAGTTCCCGGCAGTTTGCGCTCGAAATGATACTCGCTTGAAACGCAAACTGTTTCTCCTCCACGATTCGAAAAGGATCGATGTGATTTCTCGCGTTGCGGTTGTAATAATTTATATTAGGTTGACATAAACGATTACATGCATAAAAATCAATTATTAAGACTATATCTTTTATGAAAGATTTAATTTTCCTGGAATCTAATGCGCTTTTAGTCCCGATTATCCAGTCTTATCTTAAGACTACCTCCTCGGATAAAACTTTCGCGAACTTGGATGCGCATTTCTACATAGTGTTGACATAAGTTTTTCATTTGCCCTAATTTCTCGCAGGTTTCCCTTCTTTAAACGAACTCGCCGCAACGCCGCAAAGTTCTCGTTATCTTTCGAACATGCAAATGTTGTTGGAGGAACGGAGTAAATTTGCCGTGTCACTGACCGTCCTCCGTTCCCTCGATTACTCCCGGCAAGCCCACTCGTGACGCGATCAGGAGAGACATGTTGGATATCACCGGTGAACTTCCTTGGCCGTATGCCAAAGGACGCGAAGGCGTTCAATTACTTATGGGCTTTCTCCTCGATTCAGACTTTTTCCCTACCGTCTATCGCGTTCCGCGCGCTTAAACATCAGATAGAGAGGTAGGGATTTACTTGACGAAAAGTTACGTTATACATTATCCTAATCTAAATAACCAGTCTTCCGCTCGACGTACGTACAGATCTTGGCTCTTATTTCAAGACGTTGACAGTGATCTTCAGTGGTAGACAGGGGCATGAACTTCAAAGCGGAGTTGTGGGAGGGTGAGGGAAGCGGTCGCTGATGGTGTTAACATTCAACAGTGCTCACGTGATCAAACATAAATGAAGTGTCAATCTATATATTTAACGACAAACACAGTTCAGAACAAGCAGCTCTAGCGGCTCGTGCAAACATTTTCTTCAGGATACAGGAATTCAAAGTGTACACACAAAAGGCCGATATCGTATGAGCGATATCGGCCGGCGCGCTTTTCGTCGCTTGGTCGTTTACCTTTGTATCGCACGCGATAACTTCCCGCAGCTCGCGCAGGAAGGCCCCGAAGAATGGCACCACCGGGCATTCCGGCATCGCGAGAGCGCGGGCAAGCGCACGCTCGTATTCGGAAGACAGAAGGGCGGAGGAGAGATAGTCCATGACCGGTATGGGCTCGTTCACGCCGTGCCAAAACGGCTTCAGCTTGTTGGACCTGCAACGTAAGCGACATTCGTTCGCGATTAGACGCAAGGCAGACATATTTTTCCGGATAAACTTAAGAAGTAAACCGCTGACGACACGGAAAATTCGCGCGGCTCCAAGTAATGCGCGCTTCTCGCGTAATGCACGGCGATGCGATTTAGAGTATTAAGAGAGGGTTGTGATACTTGCAGTATTAACAGAGACTGTGTCTTCATATACTCCAATATATTCTCTAAATTTTTTGAAGTGAATCTCCAAAAGTGAAAATACTGCCACTCGGCCATTTGAGTGGCAGTATTTTCATCCTTTTGGAGTGAGATTCACTCCAAAAGAGCGAAAATTCACTGCAGAAAATTTAGAGAGACTCTTCTCATAATAATGTCTTAAAAATTAATATTTTTCTTAAAATATTAAGTAATTGTTATGGCTCGCTGCAACAGTGAGCTACATTTTGTACCCCAAATTTTGTAAAAATGTGGAGAAAATGAACTCTAAAGTTAAAGTAATTGGAAAATACATCTATTTCTATCAATATCACAGATTCGGTTACGTTAGCCCATTATTGCACAGCAAGTTCTTTGATTAATATATAATAGTATTTTTAAACATATTTTTTATTTTAACCAATTACGAAACTCTAGAATTTGTTGGATATATCAATAAATCAAAAAGATTAGCGGTGTTACTTTAAGAAGATTTAACTCTAATGCAATAATCCAAATTAGAGTAACATTCAGTAATTCCTACTAATATCTTAACCTTGTACACCAACGTATACGGTGGTTTACTCTGCGCGCAGAATTACTAAGCTTAATTTCAACTAAGGTAAATTTCAGAAACTGCTAATGTTACATTAAAGGCGTGGACTCGAATACTAAATTAATTTGGGAAGCAAAATTTAAACAAAAATTCTAATGTTTTGGTACGTAAGATGAAATTTGTCTTTGAAACGAAGTTGTATAATTCAACATTATGAGAAATTTATATGTCTTATATTGACAACGTTCTAAAGATCTAAAGTGTCTAAAGTCTTTTATTCGAAACTAAAAGTGACACATGTTTACTCTTTCCGAAAGATGAAAGAATTTTTGAGCAAACAGAAATTTAATGTCTTTCAAGTTTTCTTATATTAAACGCGTGAAACGTGAAGGATTCAAGGATTGATAGTTTAGAGAAAAGAGGTTGATAAACAACTACAATTTAGCGTCGCGAGTACAGCAAATTACAGTCCACATTCGCACTTTGCGACAGTTTACATTTGTATGATTAAAAATTAAGCTGATAGTCACCGGCATTCGCGCGTACGAGGCAGCGATGTTCACGGTCCTTGCAAACAGTTTCCTCCGTTTCGCGTACTAGCGCGGTCGTTAAAATCACGAAACGTTTACCATTAGAGCGTTAATTATCCTCCCTCTTTAAGCATTCTCTCCGTAGCGCGGCCAGTTAGCCCTGAATGCGCCGGCTGAAAACTGCAGTTTCCGAGTGTGTATATATATATATATATATATGTGTGTGTGTGTGTGTGTGTGTGTGTGTGTGTGTGTAGTGTGTGTGTGTATTGTGTGTGTGTGTGTGTGTGTGTGTGTATTATATTATAATTAATATCATTTATGATATAGTATCGTAGCATACCTCCTGCACNGAATGTGATTTCGATTCATCGCGTTCGCGTGTTTCGACACGAA